TCCCGCGGCAGTCCTGGCTGCCAGAGCTCTCGAGGTAGCAGCCTCCATGTCTGAAAAGGCAGTGGCCGCAGTGCCCGGTCTGCCAGCCCTGCAGTACACCCTGAAGCACTACCTGCTCTACCTGGGCCGGGTGCAGGAGCGTGCCACAGCCCTGAGCCAAGGTGCAATCTGTTGGCGGCCAGAGAGGGCATCCAGGACTCTGGTCAGGGTGATGTGCAGAGTTATCCAGCAGGGTAGGGTGACTGGTGCCCCTGAGCCCCAGACTCCCTCTGCCCCACCCCAGGCAGTGCCTCAGGCTGTGGACTCCTCACCGTGTGGAGACAGCACTGTGGATCTGGGCTGTAGGGCAGAAGCTGTGCCCTGACCTGCTGCCTGACCTCGGTCCCAGCCTGGCCACCCCTGAGGACACCAGGCCAGCCAAGAAGCACAGGACCCAGGCCTACTGACTTGGCTGTGGCCCGGGCCTTGCACACCTACCCTGTGATCTCAGGGTACAAGTCTTTGGACAGGGGGCTGGCTGCTGTAGGAGCTCAATAAATGCTTGCTGAACTCAAACCTGACTATGAGGCCCATGACCCTCCCCAGGGGCTCCCATCTCCCATACAGAGACACCTCATGCTGGGTGCAGAAAAGCAAGGGGGAAGCCCAGGCTGCTGCTTGTGTGGAGGGAAGGGCCCTCACAGTTTGATCAGTGAGTTGGGGGGAGACCAGCCCAGCCCGCAGTGCCCAGTACAGCCACCTGGTGCTGTGTAAAATATTTATTCATTCTCCAAAAAGGCTCAGACTGCAAGTCTCATGGGAGAGGCCAGGGCAGGGTCTCCTCTGGGGCCACCCTTGGGGACCTCCACCACTCAGCCCAGTCCATCAGTCCTATTCCTCCAGGCCTGGGAGGGGGCGGCCAGGGCTGGTGTAAGGCTTGGCCTGGAGTCAGTGGGCCACAGGGGCCACCTGCACCCACCAGGAAGAAGCAGCCTCAAGACATACATTCACAGAGGACGAACATGCAGGCCTCCCTAGTGGCTGGCCCACGGATGCTGCGCCTTGGCTGGTGTGGCCCTGGGAACTCTTGTCAGGGTGGCGGGGGAATGTGGGCACCCAGCAGGTCGTAGGCAAAGATGTTCCAGAAGATGGCGAAGAGCAGGAAGGTGCCATAGGCAAGCAGCACCACCCACCAGCCACACTGGTCTCGCAGGCGTTCCTCATAGCTGCGCAGGATGGTCAGGCCCATGCTGACACCCACCACCGCGCCTGCCAGGTGTGCCATGAAGCTGGGCTGTGGGCCCGAGGCAGGCAGTGGCGGGGAGAAGCGCAGCCACACGGCCCGGCCCACCTCGGAGCTCACTACAGAGGGAGGCAACAGGTGAGAGGCACCCTAGTCGTAGGCTGAGGCCCCTCCACCCTGGCTCCCTACTTACTGCACACCAGGGCCAGCACCATCCTCAGCAGCTTGTAGGGACATCTCATCCCAGCCCAGTTCTGATGGGGTGTGAATAAAAAAGGCTGTGAGGGAGGCCTTATGGGCCCCTCCCCGCACCCCGCCGCAGGGGCTGCCCCGTTACCATGACGACATTGGCCAGGTGTGCAGAGCACAGGGCGTAGACCCCGCCGGAGCCCCCCACCACAGGGGCCCGCATGTCAGTAATGGAGACAGTCAGGGAGCCTGTGTGAGCAAGGGGAGAGCCGTGAGGGTGAGGCTCACCAGTGAGGTGGCCAGGGCGCACACACCTGCCTCACCTGCCAGCACACCAGCCAGGTAGAGCAGGCTGATGCGGAGCAGGCCATGCACCATCTCCAGGGGCACCCCGATCATCAGCTGCAGGAGTGCGTTGAACCCCAGCTGCTCCAGCCTGGCCGTATGGGGCAAATAGGTGTGAAGGGTGGGGTCCGCCAGGGGGCTACCAGCCCCCTGCCCCCACCTCGAGAGGCTGAGCCCTCCCGATCCAATCCGAGGGGTGCCAGAGGTGGGCCCACTCACCCAACGTGCATGAACATGTAGGTGAGAAAGCGCCAAGCCCGAGCACGGTGGCCGGGGTGGTATACGAGGGGGCTTTTCATGTACTCAGGGTGGTAGGTTTGCAGCACCCACTTGTTGAGACGGGCCCCGTAGCACAGGAACACGATGATCTGGGAGGGACAAGTGTTGGGGCCAGGCAAGACCAAGGATAAGGGAGGCTCCCGGGGTGGTGGGTGGTGGACGGGCAGGCCCACCTGGGCGAGGGTGACCGAAGCCATAAACACAGGGGGTGGGCAGCTGCGGTGCCGGTAGAAGTACCAGTGGCGGTCCACCTCTCGGGGCAGGATCTCGTAGGCCACGTAGCGCACGAACCGCTTGTAGACACCCAGTCCTGGCTCGTCCAGCAGCCCGTCCTGGGGCAGTGCCCGCTGTCCATTGGCGATGGCCCGCTTGAAGCTGCTTGAGCGCTTGCTGCTGATCTGGGGGGCGGGGCCTAGGCATAGGCCACCATACTCCCCCCATGGCCGCCCCTCCTGAGTGGTCCACCCAGCTTGTCACAGGGTCTGAAGCCCTGCCCCATGGCTATAGCCCTCCCCAATGGGAAAGGCAGGGAGGAGGGGCCGCCTGCCCAACCCACTCCAGCCAGGGCACTGCGCCCACACCCCAGCTGCCCACCCACTGTGGCACTGACCAGGTCCACCAGCTCCTGGTAGCAGACCTGGCCCCGCTCGTTGCTCTGGGCCAGGGCCACCAGCATGTCCAGTTTGGCCGGGTCCAGGGGCAGCTCATGGCGGTGCACCAGGCCAGCGAAGGTGTCCGCACCGATGAAGCCGGTGTTCTCAGGGTCCAGCTGCTGGGGTCGAGGGGCCAGCGGCCAAGGTCTGAGGGTGGGCCGGGCCCCAGGACCACAGGGCTGAGCCACGTCAGGCGGGAGAGGCAGGCTCCGAGCACCCTGGGTCCAGGCCCCTGTGCCCACATGGTCCCAGGAGCTAGCTGTAGGAACCGGTACCTAGGTCCCCGGCCTCTAGCTCCGCTAGCTCTCCAGCCGTCTCCCCACCTCATTTCTGCCTTGCCCATCCTGGAAGGGTAGGGCCAAGGTCTGAGGGCAATCACCAACCCTTTTGCCCCTCCCCAAGCGCCCTAGTCTGGCTCGGTCTCGTGCAGGGGACCAAGGTCGTGCAGGGAAGGGGCTGCGCTGAGGGTCTCAGAGCTCCGTCCCCCCGGCCCACCCAAGGGCGGGCGGCCGGCAACGGGGGCGGTGCCGGCGCCCCCCACCTCTCCACGCACCTGCTCCTGGATAAGCTGCAGCAGCGAGCTCCTGTCCATAGAGCCAGGCCGGGCCGGGGGCCGGGGGCCGGGGGCCGGGGTCGGCGGCCGCGGCCGGGAGGGGCTTCTCTGCGGACTACTCCGCTCCGCCCCTGCCCTCCGGCTCCGCCCACTCCGCTCGGCGCCGCGTCACGGAGCCGCCCGCCCCCGCCGCACACGCCGCCGCTGCCGGCCCAGCCACTCGCGGTCAGGACACGCGCGCGACCCGCACGCGGACGTGCCCGGGCAAGAACTGCGCGGGGCGCTTGGCTCCAGTGCCGGCGCCCCCGCCCCGGGCTGCAGCTGTTCGTCCCGCGGGGCAGCAGCCGGGAAACTGAGTCACGCGCGGCACGCAAGCCCCTTCTGCGCCCACCCCTTTGCCCCGGGCTGGGCCTCAGCGCCGATGCCACCTCCTCGGGGAAGGCTTCAGGGAACAACCCATTGCTGGGGACTCCCCCCACCGGGCTCCCTGAAGGCACCTCCCTCCCTGTCAGACATGCTTGACCGTCCCGGCAACAGCAGCTCCACGGCCCCAGCGGCGAGCACTGAAGCCAACTGGGCAACTAGCAGGGTTGAGGGAGGTCCCTGCAGCAGGCCCTGCTCAGTGGGTGGGGACCAACACAACTTGGGCTGGAGGCTCCTGACTACTTCTGTGGCCACAGTGCTAAACTGACCCATGGACATGGGGGTGGGGAGAGCCCCCAATGGACAAGACCGCAGCTGGGATGGAGAGGAGCCCTACTTCCCAGGGAGGACAGGTAGACCCCCTACAATAAGGAAGGTGACGGGCTGTGGTAATGTATAACCATAGCAACCCCTGACAGCACCGCTCAGAATGCCTGTGCAGCTGCGCCTCAGGACAGATGCAGCAGCTAGAAGTAGCATCCTGCCCTGCCCAGCTTTAGTAAGAACTGCACCAGGGGTCCTCAGGTCACTGGAGCTGGGGGGCCAGCGGGATGGTTGAGACAACTTAAGGGTGTGATGCCCAGCCCCTGTTGGGTCAGGCCTGAGTATCCCCTGCCGAGGAGGCACCTCCCCCGCCTCTAGAAACAGCTTGTCAGGGCTGGGGAAGGGGCCCTGGCCTAAAGGCCTGTCTTGCAAAGAATGACTAATTACAGGAAGTAGAGGGGGTACTTGTCTGGCCAAGGTCCTCCACCCAAGCACACCACATACTGCTTCTGCTCCACGCCCAGAATGCACGCCAGAGTGAGCACCTAAACTCCAAGCTGAGCCCCCTCCTCAGCCCAAGAAAGGTTCTCTGTCCCCTTGTCCTTAGGCTGGAGCTCTGGCTGTCTCCTGCCCAGTGGGAGGGGCAGAGGCCTCTGGGTGGGGTGTGAGAAACAGCAGCTCCCCCAGACCAGGGCCACCTCGCACACCAGGACATTTCAGCACATCCCAAAACCCCAGATCCTCAGCACACCTCAGCCAACCTGACAGGATGTTGAGGCTTAGGTAGTGAATACACCTGGCTGTGGGGAAGGGTCACATGAGGGGGGTCCTCAGGTATCAGGCCCCCTCCAGCCTCTCACCCTCAGGCCAGCATGGACCTCAATGGACCTAAAGGCCCTGAGGCTGCGGCTGGGCCATAATTGGTCCTTACCCTGGCCTGAGACCTCAGGATGGTGACCCAGAGAGGAGGCGGGGGGGGGGGGTCAGGAGTAACATTCCCAGCCCACACCCAGACCAAAGACACGTTTTAGTTAATTCAAGAAGTCATCCTCAGAAAGCAGGACCCAATATGTAAAAGACACAAGTGAAGTTTAATCAGGAAACCCAATCTCATATCTTCTGTGAGAGGCACAGCCCTGGACCTGTCTTCAGATTGGGGGGTGGGGGCGCGCACAATGGTCCAGCCATTTCTTGCCTCCACGCCCCTGCCTTTGGCCCAAAGCTCTGCCCTCTTACCCCCTTCATACCCTCTGGCCACATGGGACCAGGAAGGAGGAGTGGAGCCCTGAGAATTCGGGTCTGGGGTCACTGACTTCCTCACCCACACCTCCCGGTCCCTCCAACACATGATGCCCACAGAAGAGGGTCATGCCCGGCACCTGCAGCAAGGCCGGACACAGGCTGCTGGGAGCCAGGGCCACCCTCGGGGCTGAGGCAGGGGTGGGGCAGCAGGTGGACTGTCCTCAGGAGGAAAGTTGAGAGGGTCTCCATCCCCCACCAAGCAAGTGGCCCCACACCAGCACCCTGAGATCAGACTGTGGGGTCTGGGACCTCATCGGCTCTTCACCAAGACCCTGTAGAGTGAGAAGCTGAGAACGGCAGCAACGGCAGCCCCGACGGCCCCCAGCGCCACCCGGAGCCAGAAGGAGGTGGCGTGCAGCTCCCCGTGGACAAGGTGTCTGCAGGAGAGAGGGGAGTCTTGCTGCTGTAACCCCACCTCCGTCTCCTACAAAGTCCCAGAGCCCCACTCAGCTGCTTTGTGTCAGTGCCCAGCATGGCAGTACCCCCAGACTAGAGGGCAGCCTGTGAGGCCAGGCCCCGAGGGCCCCGCCTGAGCATCAGCACGGGCACCAAGGCCCACCCTGCAACCTTGACTGACTCCAGTCCTGACACCACAGCTGTGCCACTCTCCTGGGACAGGGAGGGGTCTGCCACACAGGGGCTTCGATCCTGGTACCCACGGGAAGGCAGCCATGGTGGCGAGCCGGGTGAAGATGGCCGCGCGGGGCTCAGCTGGGCCGGCACAAGAGAACAGGGCGGGGGCGGGCAGCCGGTGCCTACGGCAGAACTCAGTCGGAGACAGACCAGGCAGCAAGACGCCTTCAGGCAAGTCAGCCTTGGAGGAGACGAAGAGGCAGGGGGTCTGCCTGTCCATGTAGTGGCGCTGCAGGGGGAGGGGCCATGTGAGTGTGCTGGGGGACACCTGCCCACAGCCCTGCTATGCAGCAGGGCCCCCAGGGTGGGCGGGACCTTGCCTTGTAGACACTGGCGCACAGCGAGAAGGACCTGGGGTGGCTGCTGTCAAACATCAAGCAGGCGATGTCACAGGTGGCATCGGCCGAGGCGGTCAGGAGGCTGTCTGCACCCACCTCACACAGCTGAACAGAAAGGGTGGCCTCAGAGGAGCACAGGCTAGGTCTCCCAGGGCTGCGTTGGGCGGCTCCCTCAGCGTGCACGCTCTAGGCCTACCCTGGGGACCCCGCACTCACGATCAGGTACTTCTCCTGCCCGTTGACCTGCACGGTGTCGATGGTGTAGGCAGAGGGCTCCCCGGCAGGCTCCCCAGCATCCTGGTGCAGAGGAAGGATGCCCCTGAAGCTCACTGCTTGGACTCTTTCCAGAACCCCTGCCCCCCAGGTCCACGCACGGCACACATGGACACTCACCCCCAGGCCATGGCCAAGGAAAGCCTGCAGGAAGGAGGACTTGCCCACTCCGCGGGCCCCTACCACCTTGCACAAGAAAACGTTTCTCTGCGTTTGTCCCTTCTCCTGGTCCAGCCTCTTCTCCCGGGTGACTGTGGGCAGGGAGCAAGGATGAACATGAGGGAGGGGCTGCCGGGGAGGCACTGGCTGGGGGCCGGTGTGGAAGCGGGCACCCACCTGTGATGGCGTGGGCCTGGGAATCCTGCTCGCAGAGGGTGGGGAAGCCCAGGTAGCCAAGGTGCTCAAGACAGTGCTGGACGTCCAAGTAGGTCACCAGACTGGAGAAGGGAGAAGTGGGGATGTGGCGTTACAGCAGGGCAGAGGGTGAGGCCATGTCTCAGTGGGTGAGGGCTGCACTTACGTCCACTGGCAGAGATACCCGTGCAGGGGCAACCGACCGGCCTTGGTGCGGACCGTGCGAGGGAGCTGGGGGCCCCAGGGAGCAGCAGGAAACACGCTGAAGAGGCTCTGCAGCTCTGCTGGCGAGAGGGCGCCATCCCGGTCCTGCGGGCAGAGGAGCTGCGGTGGCATGTGCGGGCGGGAGACCAAGGTGGGGCTCAGTGGGGCCCAGCGCCCTCACCTGGTCATGCTTCTCGAACATCCTCTGCACAAACTGGTAGCCGCGGTGGTTGAGCTCTGTGCTGCATCCGGGAGGCACACGGAGCCTGCGGATGCCGGGATGGGGGTGGGGCTGTGCACACCTCCTCGTGCTCCGCAGGGCACCTCCTCCGAATACAGGCCGTCCAGGCAGGCAGAGAGTCCCCCCGCCAGGGAGAGACACCCCGATGGCCCCCAGCACAGGGTCCAGGAGCCCCAGGCCCCATCCGACACAGATGGGAGGCGAGCCCTGAGTCTAAACACCACTCACGGTGGGCAGAGATAGTTGGCCGTCAGCTCAAGCGAGTCACCATAGCCAAAGCGCCTCAGGATGGTCCACGTGGTCTCGTGGCGGCCTCGCTGGATGAAGAGCGTGTTCAAGAAAAGGAAGCCTGCTCAGGAGAAGCAGAAAAGGAAGTAACACCAGGCACGGCCCGGCCTTGCCCCACACCCCACGCCCGATGTAGGCAGAGTGTCGGGCCTCACCATCCAGGGTCAGCCGGTCATCCCGCACGCCTCCTGCCACATTCTTGCTCACCACCACCTTCACGTCCTCCAGGGCCTGCGGGGCAAGAGGGTGCCCGAAGCAGGACATCTGCTTCCGAGAGAAAGTCGCCATTAGTCAGCCAGCTGCCCTCTCCATCCGTCACAAGGGCAGCAAAGGCATGGGGTGTGGCTGCAGCTGGGAGGGTGGGTACCGCCAGGAGACAGAAGGGGGCGCACCTGGAAAGCGTTGAGCTCCTGGTCACTAAGCACCTGGTCCATGTCCTGGTCCGAGAGCCTGAAGATGCGTGTGAGGGCCTGGGCGCACTCGGGCATCAGCTGTGGGGACAGCGGCTCAGCACCCCCACCACTCCCTCCTGCTCACCCTCCCCACCGGTGCCTTCGGCCCACCTGCTTGGCCTCAGGGTCATAGAGGGGGGCCGTGGGGTGCAGCACGGCCTTCTGTGCGTAGTAGAACAGCTCTGAGATGTTTTTCAGGTTCTTCGCCGAGCACTGGGGCACGTGGGAACAGACTCAGAGGGGGAGGCAGGGAGGCCCCCTGTCCTCGCCTCTGCAGCCCTGGCACCCCCGGGGCCCTGCCTGCTCACCTCCACACAGGTCTCGATCTCAGGGAACTGGCTCATGATGGGCAGCACAGCCTCCATGGAGCCCCCCGGCCTCAGGTCCGACTTGTTGCCCACCAGGATAATGGGGACCCTGGGGGAGAGACCCACGGTCACCAGGGGTCAGGGAGCTGGCGGGACCCAGCCCCCCTCCCCGAGCCCTGCCTATTACCTGGGCCCCCTCTTGGTATCCCCATTCACCAGCGGGATCCATTTGGTTCGGATCTGAAAGGTAAGACCCGGCCATGAGAATGGGGGCCTGCCCAGCCCACAGCCCCCATGTGGAACTCTCACTTGGCTCGAGGAGAGACGGGGGAGACTGAGGGCCACTGAGAGCCAAAGTCACGGCCACTGGCAACAAGACCAGTGGGGAAGAGCAGCGGGCAGGTAGGACCTCATCTGATCCTAGCAGTTCCCAAACACCCACAAAGGGCCTGAGATCAGCAACTCCTCCCGCAGGCCTAAGAGATTCAGATGCAAGGCCATCCACGCTCTCGGCGGGAGACAGGGTCATGGGAACTCGGGGGGAGCTTTGGGGGCCCTGGCCAGGGTGGCTCTGTGAAGCTCCCCAGTGGGGCCAGCCACGGGTGCAAGTTGCCCAGAACCCGGGTCAACTGAGCGTCCGCCTGTGGTGTGTGCAGAGAACAGGTGGATGACCAGGCTCGGCGCCAGTGACAGAAAGCTAGGATGGACAGAGAGTTCCCTGGCTCACCTTCTCAATAGTGGCCTCCTCAGACACGTCATACACCACGCACACCACGTTTGCCTGTTGGGGACAGGGAGAGGAACTGTATGGTGGGATCTGAAGCTCCCTGCTCCACTCACAAGCTGGACAGCACAGGGCTCAGAGACTGGGGGAGCCCACCCTTCCAGCTGCTCCCAGGCCGAGTCACTGGCTGTTGGCTAGGCACACCTCAGGCCAGCTCTTCCCTACCCACTTCTGCTGCAGATGCCAGGCCCCAGTACTGCAGCTCTGGTCAGCGAGTCCCCTGAGGGCTCAGGACACAGCCACCCTTAAACTTGACTCCCCAGCCCCAGCCTCAGCCCTTCACTCCCTGGTCACTACAGGCAACAGCAGACAGAGGACAACAGCACAAGGTAGGGGATGATGGCAACACAGTGGCTGCGGCCTGTACCCTTGCCCAGTGGCACCCCCAGGACACAGCAGATGCTGCAGGGGCAGCACCCCCACCAGAAGCTTGGTCCAAGCACAGGTCCTCCTGTGCAGAGAGCAGAGAGCTAGCTGTGCAGCCCACAGCCCTGGTCATGACACCCGGTGCAGCCCAGAGGTCCAGGACAGTGGGCTGGACTAAGGAGTGGGGAAGGGGGGTGCTGGGCACAGAGTTGTCCAAGGGATCACTTTCAAGGACTTGGAGACTGCTCCCCAGGGTCCACCGGAAGAGGGAAGGCTAGGCACGGAGAGCTGTGGGCTGGCCAACCACGCATGCAAGAGGAAGGAATGGGCCTTCCTCCTGGTTCCCAGCAGAGTGCATCACAGGGACCCCAAAGACACTCAGTGCTAACAGGTCACAACAGAATTAGCGAGGCTGCGGACACTCTGGGTACCTTAATCCAATTCCTCAGAGGCTGAAGCCGATCAAGCCAGGGCAGCCATATCCCCAAGGCCTGAGCCCTGACCCCCGTGCCCAGCACCCCCTTCCCCAGGACCCACTGTACCTTGTGAATCTCGTCCTGAAGCTCCTCGACTGTCTGCTCAGCTTCTGGGTGGAAAAAGAGACCCTACTGCAGACCTGCCGGAGACGCCCGCTCCTGGGCGCAACCGCGGGCGGGCGGCCCCTCTACCTGAGTAATCCACGATGTGGGTGGGCACCTTCTCTGGGGTGACGTCCGCGGGAATGGTGATCTCTTCTGCCCGGGGAGGGACCTGGGGCAGACGCGGCCGTGAGGACAGCCGGGAAGGGCGGAGGGCGGCGGCGCCCGGACCTAGTCCCTTCTTGGGCGCGGGGGCGCGCTCGGCCTTACCTCCTCGGGGAACTCCTCGCCCACCAGCGACAGGATCAGCGACGTCTTCCCCACCTGGGCTGCGCGGGGCGGCGCGGTCAGCGCGGCGGCCAAGGTCGCGGCGCCTCTCCCCACCCCGGCCCCAAGATCCCCGACCAGGCTCGACCCCCGCCTGACCCAGGCCCAGGAGCCTACATACCCTCGCCAAGCAGCAGGATGCGCACGTCCCGCTTCATGCTGGCCGCCGGGAGCTGCAGTCCGACCCCAGTGCAGGCCCGGCCCCCACCCACGACCCCGACCCGCGTTGTAGCTGCGCCCGCACTTCCGGCCCCCGCCCGCGCAGCCGCCCTAGCGAGGCGGGCGGGCCACACCGGCCTAGCTGCCCGGCGGCGCCACCGCGTGGGCGCGCCGGGCACTGCCGGCGCCGCGCCGGCCAGGGGGGCGGGGTCTTTGCCCAGTGCCGCCCCGCCCCCGCAGCTCCTGCAGGGGTCAGGATCCCTGGCAGGGAGCAGGACTTCTGGAGGTTGGGCAGAAACTGAGCTCAGGCAGTCTGGAGTGACCAGGAGACAATGCCTCAGTGCAACACCCACATTTATTTGAACTGTACAAGGTAGAAACAAAAGCCCAAAGGAAAAGAGGCAATAAGCACTTCATACACGTTCAAGGTCTTGATGATTTGCATACACTCCTGGGCAGCCGGGTGTGGAGGGGTGAAGCCCACCCAGCCATCCTGGCCCAGCACAAGGCCCCCGGCCAACCCAGCTTCTCAGCTGAGCCTCTGCCCAGGCCAGGTGCCCGGCTGACCAGCAGGGCAACACCTGACCCCGCACTCCCCACTGGGGGTCAGTGTCCTGTAACTTCCCACACCAGTATCTCATTGTGGGCCGCCGTGAAGAGCAGCCGAGCAGACGGGGCAAACCTGCACAGCTGCACCGAGTCATCATGGCCAGCAAAGTCCTGCACGGCCCCCGACGTACAGTCCACCAGCCTCAGCACACGCTCTGCTGGGGGACAGCATCGGGTGGGCTGGGACAGGTAGGGTGCCGTGGGCCCTGTGCCTGTGTCTGTATAGTTCCAGGACCCAGGGTTCCTCCAACCCACCCTGGCTCTGTCTCCAGCTGGGGCCAGTGCCTCATTGGGGGAACCTGGCACCCCACCCCCCTCATTTCCTGACCCTACCTGAAAGACTCCGCTGGAGCAGGTGTCCTCACCCCACTTTCAGGGACGAGGGGTACGGCTCAGTGTGGGGGCACAGGTGTACCCACCGGGCCCCACTCAAGACACCAGCACTCACCAGAGAAGCCAATGGCCATAAGGTGGGCCCCAGGGGACAGGCTCATGGACACAGCAAAGAAAGGCAGTGGGATCTTCTCTATCACCTGCAGACAGCAAGCATGAGGCACTGGGTGGGGGTTCCCGTGGCCCCGAGACCTGTCCCTCCCCAGCCCCGGGTCCCTCAGGCTCCCAGAACCACATGGAGGGGTGCATGTGCCTGCTTCTGGCAGAGGCTGTAGAAGACGACCTCATGGTGCACGCTGAGGCCCGCACACACCAGCAGCGCCTCATCCCAGGGGCAGAAGGCGGCGAGGGAGGGCGGCAGGCAGCTGGGAACCTGTGGAGGGCACAGCACATTGTTGCAGGGTTGGGGGGCACCCCGCCCACAGGGCCACCGGGACTCTTACCTCCGTGAGGGCGGGCGCTGGGAAGCTCAGCCAGTCCACGAGCTCACAGCGGTCCTGCAGCCAGTTGGAGGCCCAAACGCTGACCTGCTGGTCCCCGCTGGCAGCCAGCCACAGGTCCACACCCTCTGCCCCGAAGTCTCCATACTGGGGACATCAAGGCTGGTAGGTGCCGCCTGCCCTGCTCTCCCATCCCCTTCCCTGCCAGCACCCTCGGCTCAGGCCAGGCCCTGCAGGCTCATGAGGCTACTTCACCTCTCTTCTCGTGCTCTGGATGGTGCAGATCGGGGCTCCCCGATGGTCACTCAGCACACGGAAGGTCATCCCCGTGCGAGGGCGACTCACAGCCACAAGCCCATCCCTGTCTCCGGAGAGGATGGTATGACCTGGGCGAGGCAGAGACCAAGCTGTTACTCGTGAGCCCCTAGCCCTCAGCCCAAAGGTGTGACCTGGGCCAGGCAGAAGCCGTGCTGTCACCGTGAGCCCGGCCTCACCATCAGCAGAGAAGGCGATGGCCGTTAGTGCAGCCGAGTGGGGATGCATCTTGAGCTCCATCGCTATGAGGGGGATGCTGAAGAGCCGCAGCGTGCCGTCACTGTAGCCCGCTGCCACCCACTGCTGCTCTGGGCGTTCGCAGGATGGGGGGCTCCAAGACAGGCAGAGGCAGCTCTGGGGACCCATGGTGGGAAAACATTAGCACTCCCCTGGGGAGGGGGGAAGGGGCCCAAGGCCACAGACAGACACCAAGGCTGGAGGGAGGACGAGGCTGCCGGAGCCCCGGGCGTGCACCCCAGCCCCAGGCGCCCCCCGAGTACCTGGCTGAGCACCTGGAACTGGATCAGCAGCTCCATGCTGGCCACGCTCCACACCCTCACGCTCCCATCATCACTGCACGTGGCACAGTGGGACTCGCTGGGGCTGAAGACCACCTCGTTCACCTGTGAGGAGTCACCACCCTACCTGAGGCCCATGGCCCTCAAGCAGAGAGGGAACACAGCATGGCCAGGTCATTCATGAGAGCATCCATCTCCCCCTTGAACCTACCTGGCCCCAGCCCACCATGTGGCACAAAGAAACTGTCCTGACCTCCCTCCCTCCCAAGTGTCCCTACACTAGACCTGGGTGGAATCCAAATTGCAAGAAGCCCACCAGTCAGTTGAACTTGACCATCCACTTGCTGGGACGTCACAGAAGGAACTGTCCTGACAGAACCTAGAACACGGGACTCCCAGGGGGGCCACTCCTGGGCCTCATCACAGCAGGGGGGGTGGGGCTGAGATTGTCGTGTGTGTGTGTGTGTGTGTGATGTGTATCAAGGGAGAAAGCAGTTGTATGATTACACAGAGTCAGGATCTCTGGTGTAAAAAAAAGGAGACAGAAAAAAAAAATTAAAATAAAAATTAAAAAAAGGAGACAGGCCATGCACCAATGAGGTAAAACAAAATATCTGAGTCCTGAATGTGAATTCCAAGCATTAAGTATAAACTCCTGATGCATTTTATCTTAGAAAAATTATAATTTAGGTCTGTTTGGCTGAGAAGTGATGGGCCCCTCTGGGCCTCAGACCATGACCTCTAAGCCCATTTCCCACTGGAGGGGCCCACAGGCTCTGGAACAGCCAAGTCCGGTCTTGGGCGGAGCTGCAGAGGGAGAGGCTGGAGCACCTGTGGTCCACAGAAGAGGGGGACCACCAGTGACCACCAGCTCAGGTCAAGAACTCAGCACCCTCGAGCTCATGCCCTGGTGGGTGGATAAACTCATCCTATCTGTACCACAGAAGCATATTTAGCAGTAAATAGGCGTGAAGCACTGACACTCGCTACAACTCGGATGGACCTTGAAAACACGATGCTCAGTAAGAGAAGCAGATAGAAAGCACCACAGAGTGTGTTTCTGTTCACAGGGACCATCCAGAACAGGCAAACCGACAGACACAGAGTTGGTGAGCGCCTGCCAGGGGCTGGGCGGTGAGTGTTTAATGGCTGGGGGGTTTCCTTCCGGGATGAAAGTGACCGCAGTGTTGCACGGTTCTGCAAATGTTTCAAAATCCATTGATGTTACATGGGTGTGTGGCCCACAGATTATACCTCGACATAAAGCCATTACCAAAGAAAAAGGAAACATGTAACCCTCACTACCTCACACAAGAGTTTCTTTGTTGGCTACTGTTACGCCTGAACAAATGAACGTAGAATTTTTTTAAAAAGACTCAGGAGCCAACTTGAAGACCCTGCCACCAGCCAAGGCCAGGACTCCATGAGCATCAAGAGAAAGTGACGGTGGGGAAGCCAGACCCACATTTCCACCCACCAGCCCTTAATAGCTCTCAGAAAGTAACACATTGACTGCTGCTGGGGGACCTGGTCCACGAGGGAGAGACTCATCTACCTGTGCCCTGTCCCAGCCCCGGGAAATCTGAGAGCTCTAGAGGCCACTTCTCTCCTGAAAGAACGAGGGATCTGACTACGGCCACCTACAACTCGTGCCGCCAGACAAGGGCATCACTGGTGGGAGACAGAACGCTCCCAGAAGGAAGTAATGTTGGGACTGGCTGGCCCTGACTAGACCCTGGCCTGGCTTCCAGACCCCTCGGACCCCAGGGAAGCATGTCCAACAACGGTGGTGGAAGACTCCAGCGTGGATGACCAGTTTTCTTCAACACGTAAATTACAAGAGAATAAAGTGGCGGAAAAGAAGAAGGGTCAAGAAGGCCACAGGGCCTGGGGCTGCTGCAGGTGGACACGGCATGGACCCCATGCCCACGGGGAGGGGCGCATGGTTCCAGGGGTGCAGCTGGTCCTGGGAACGCCTGGACGCTCGCAGCTGCGCTTGGGCTGGGAGCACCCGGGGTGGGGGGCGGGGACGGAGGGAGCACATGGCAGCTGCCCGGCCTGTGCGGGCTGGAATCCCCTCAGAAATCCTCGGCGGCAAGCCGGTGGCCCAGCGGCCTCACCTTGCTCTGGTGGCCGCTGACGAGGCGGGTGCTTGTGCCCTCAGCCCAGCTGACGTACCAGAGCGTGCCCGCTGTGGTGCCTACCACACCCATGTCCATGCTTTCGTGGAAGACTGCACTCACGACAGCCCCATCAAGGGTCAGCTCACGCTCCATAAACACAGAGCTAGACCTGGAGGAGCAGGGGGTGAAAGGGCTGGCAACAGCGAGAGCCGAGGGAGCCAGGTGGTTTGGCCCACGGGCCCTGGCCTTGCCCGAGCATGTCCCCTGGGGGACGGGCCCAGCTGGCAACAGAGTGCCAGCTCCCAGACACACTGTAGACGCTCACCTGGCCCCGGAGCCCTTGCGCCTCAGCTCTGGTACGGCCCCCACGGCCCATAGGCGCAGCCGCCTGGTGTTGCTGCCACTGACCAGACGCGCGCCCGAGCACAGCAGCACTCCTGGGGGACAGGAGATGCCATGAGCCACGTCCCCAGATGCCTGGGACTCAAGACGGTGTCCACCGCCCCAGCACTGGGACTCCCAGGGAGAACCGAGCCCCAAGCTGTCAAGGGCCACGGGGGCTCCGTCAGACACCCACCGATCTCACCGTCGTCCGCCTCCCAGGCCAGGAAGCAGCAGCCGGCACACACGTCCCAAACACACACCTGGCCAGCACTGGAGCCGCAGTAGAGCAGGGGTGTGGTCCCGTAGCAGAGGGAGGTCAGCTCGCACCCCCCCACCTCCTCAGGGATGGGCTCTCGGTGGACCTGGAGGGACACGAGCACAGTGTGGGTCAGCGATGCCCTGGGGTCCAGCCAGACCCCATCCTCCAAAGTCTCCTCTGAACCCTGGCACCTGGAGGCTGACGTCGCCCCCACGCTGCTGCAGAAGCCACAGGGTGACGGCACCCTGGCCCACGCAGGCGAGCTCGCCAGCGTCCCAGGGGTTGAAGGCCATGCCGTATACTGGCTCTGGCAGGCACGTGGAGGACACAAGCTCGTAGGTGGCCATGCTCCACAGGGCCAGGGTGCGGTCGCCATAGTCCCCTGGGGGAGATGCACAGTGACCACGTCAGCTGCCCAGGGTTCCCAGGACAGGCAGGGGAGTCCGGAAACCACTGTCTGCCCCCGCCCTGCTGACCCAGCGTGACGAGAAGCCTGTCGTCTGGTGAGAAAGCCAGGGCCTGGACAGCAGTGTCGTGGTGAGAAAGGAGCTGCCGACAGGAGCCCCCTGGCACGTCCCAGACACGGATCTGGCAGCGGGAGGCAGTGCTGCTTCGGCCTGAGGCAGAGGCCAGCACCTGGTGGGCAGGCAGGTGGGTGGTCAGCAGGAAGGGTGCAGTCCACAGGCCCGTTCCCGCTCTGTGTAAAGGGCTGCTCTGGAAGCGAGAGCCAGCCGCACGCAGTTCAAGGAGCCCAGCTCCGAGGCACACCTCGGCCCTGGGCATTCAAGGCAGGCTGCAGGACAGGCACCTGGGCATTGTGGCTGAGGGCCAGCGTGGAGATCTCCTCAGGGTGGCCAAGCCAGTGCTGCTGGACCCCAGAGTGCAGGTCCTCCACCACCACCAGGCGACCACACGTGTAGGCGAAGAAGCCTGTGGGCAGGGAGGAAGCGCCCGCCCCGTCAGCCCCACAGCCCCAGGCACTCGTGCCCACACCCCCCAACCCCACCCCAAGGAGAACTCCTGCTCACAGCAGGAAGTGCCACCAGGAGGACACGCCCGCCCTGCAGCCCAAACCACCTGCAGGCCCCTCCATGGGGCCTGGCCTAGGGATGGACAGAACTTAGCCCGCCCTGCAGCGTCTGGGCCGTGGCCCCCACCTGTGTCTGGCCTCCAGACCAGGTTGGCGCGCCCGTTCCCGTTGTAACCCATGACGGCCTTCAGGTGCAGCCGCTCATCGCCGACAGCAGGGAAGGAGAGGCCCTGTGAGGAAGTGAACCCAGGACGCTGGCACCGGCCCACCTGGCCCAGGCCCCCAACCTCAAGCTCTGCCCATCAGGCCGGGCGTGGGACTGAGCCTTGGGAGATGCATGCTCCCGGGAGGAGGCAAACGGCAGGTACGTGGGCACCAAAGTCTGCACGCGGTGGCCAGCGGGGCTGGGAGCCTGGCATGCAGCATGCAGACAGGGAGGCAGGAGGAGGAGATGGGGAGGCGCCTGCCAGGGGGGAGGTGAAGGGGAGCCAGGACCATGGAGTGAAGTGAGTGTGTGGGCTCAGCAGGACACGCCTGGGTCCAGTCACTGCGTGACAGTGAGAACCTAAACCAGCCCGGTGAGAGCATGGGGCTCAGGGCAGAGGGGTGACCCGTGGGGCAACTGCCAGCAAGGCCTGGGCTGCTGTCAGCTCTGGGAGCTGCCCCAGGGAAACGCCAGGGAGCCTGTGTCTACCAGGGAGCAGGAGTCCCCCAGACACCACAGGGCCATGCCACCTGGACCCCTGGGCTTCCAGGATATCCACTGGTGGCAGGGGCTATGAGGATGCCCCACCCAGCCAACCTTGGACAGCAGGGAGGCCTTGTAGCGAGCTGTGAAATGCCGATAGGAGTCCTGGCGAGTGGGGGGCTGGGCCCTGGCTCTTCCAGTGCTGCAGGCACCTTTCAGGGAAGGGAATGAGGCTGTGAACCCCCAGGGACCACACAGTGACCCTCCTTGCAGGCACCCTGCCCTGGCTGGTCAGACGCTTGGGTTCAAACGGTACAGATGAGCCACGTCCCATCACCCACCTGGCCCAGCAGGGGTCTTGGACTCTCCATTTGTCCTGTAGGTGACCATCCCTTGTCTGCCAGGGGCAGCCAGGTCTGTCCTTAGGCCACCTGGAGTCCACGTGGTACATGCACCTGGGCCCTGGTCCAGTTATGAGTGACCCTGCCCCACCCTGCTGCCCCTCCCCTGCTTACTGGGCCAACCACGGGGGTGGGGAGGCCTGCCAAGGTCCCAGGGGCCCCCCATGGCCCCATCACTGGCCCTGCCAGCCTCCTTCTGCACCAGCACAGGTGGGCCTGAGGCCTGGCGGAGACCCTCAGGGCCACGGCTCTCATGTGACATGGAGAAAGCGCCTGAGGAGGGTGGGGAGACAGTGAGACGAGGGAGAAGAGCACCCCCATGCCCTTGCCCCTCCCCCAGGCCAGGAGCAGCAAAGCATGTCAGGATGGGAGCCAGGAACACATCCCCTCCAGGCCCTCCTAGGACCCCTGCTCTCACCATCATGGTCCTTGGGGGGCCTGGCACAGATGTCCAGCCAGGGTGGGGACGCCTGGGATGGCATGGGCACCTGCTGCCGGGGAAGCCCACTGGCCCCGGACACCGTGTCCTCCAGCTGTCTTGTACCCAGGCCTGAGGACGGAAGGAGCTCGGCTGAGCTCAGGGCCTGGGGAGGGCAGAGCAGGAGGCGTTCCCAGCCCCTCACGCCCAACCAGCTCTGCATCGGGACCCCCAGGAAAAGAACAGCGCTGTGCACCCACAGCGGTTACAGTGCCAGCACCAGACATCACCATGGAGCCTGCCAGTGTGCTGGGACCACTCACCAGCTTCGCAGGTTGTGGGCGCCCCAGGAGAGCCTTGGACACTGCAGAGGTGACAAGAGAGATGGTCGGGTGGGGCGAAGGGGTGCAGAGGGAGGCCTGGCAGATGCATGTTGAGGGCAGGAACTTGCCTTCCTGGAGGGGACTTCTCAGAGGGCGCCAGAACGTCCCAGAGAAAGATGGCGTCTCCCACACTAAGGAGCTGCTGCTGGTCGGGGGTGAAAGCCACGGCCCGCACAGGTTCTGAGTGGCCGATGTACACCTGAGGGCAGCAGTGTGGCAATATAGAGACCACTGAGGCACAGCTGGAGACACCTGGCCACCAGACTGCAAACTGACCAAGCGGACCTCGTGCAGTGTCAGGCCCCAGCAGGCACGGGGGAACCTCAGGGACTGTCCTCCACCCTCCTTCTTACCCGCTGTGCGCCCGCCCAGGGCACACACCTGGCAGCCAGGGCCGGCCTGTGCTGAGTAGTCCCACACCTTGATGGCCCGGTCGGCGGCTGTGAGCAGAAAACGGCCATCCCCGCTGAGAGCTAGGACAGAGCAGGCCGCAGGGGGGACACAGGACAGCTGTGAGAGAGGGTGATTGCTGAGGGAAAAAGTCAGAGCACACAGGACCACCAGTTGGGGGAGCCCCCTTCTCACAGAACACAACCTCTAGGGAGCAGCAAGCGGCCCAGGGCCTCCCCTCCTCTGGGCACTGTGGGCAGCAAGGCCGGAGCTGGGAAGGCGGGGGAGGCCAGGCCACCAGCCGCAGTCTTGGGCTCACCTCCCGGACCAAGCGGCCTGACGTGGCATCTAGCACTGCAACCATGTTAGAGGACGTGGACACCAGCAAGTGGCCAGGGGGTGCAGGGCCAAAGCAGACGGCCACAGCTGAGTCCAGGCGGCTGCCAGCCAGGTCCAGAGTCCTGATGTCAACCCTCAGCAGCTGACGGAGAGCAGCAAGTGTCCTCACCATGACCTCCGGCCAGAGCTCGAGCCCCCAGAGCTGGGGCCCGGGCCGTGGGCGGCCTTGGGCACCCATCCGGCAGGCTGCCCACAGCTCACATGTCCTCTGTGCCATGAGGGGCGCAGGGCCCAAGTCCTCTCTGAAATGAGCACGGCCTCCCACCCAGGGAAACGCGCAGCTGCCAGGGTCGGGGCGCCCACGGGGCCTGTGGGCCAAACTGGCGTGACTCCACTCTCACTGCACACAGGGAGGGTTCCAGTTGACTCACCTCATCCAGTGAGGTTGTGTCCATGACGGTCACCGTGTACTCGGAGGGACCCACAAAGGCCAGCAAGTGGCTGTCCCCACTGACCACCAGGGCACTGGGGCTCGGGCAGGCCTCCTGGCACACCACGTTAGCTGCCGGCATATGGGGACAGGCAGTCAGCTGGGTCAGGGTAGGGGTGGGGCACCAGAACAGACACTGGTCAGAGACCTACTGTTGTGGAAAACACCAGCCTGGGCTGGGCAGATCCCACAGCAGCCAGCCCATGGGGCCTGGATGTGAGGGCACCAAGACACCAGTGGGCACCACGGACTGCCAGGAAATCTGGTGGCTCTCCCAGAGTGACCACCAAGTGACCATCTGGCTGGCCCGAGTTACAGTGGCCATGGGAGGGGGCCGACTCCCCTGCTGGCCTGGTGCTCAGGCTTCAGGTACTCACTTCCTCCTGGGGAAGGGTGGGCACAGACTCTCACTGACCTTCAATCTCGGGGGGCTGGTGAGTCCTAAAACCACACTTGGCTCTGGGGGTCTCAGTAGTGCGACTGTAGAACGCAGTACCACGATCGGGGACGACACATACCCCCATCCCCGCAGGGACCTGACCAGGGGATGGCTGGGAGGCCAGAGTGGGGCTGGGGCTGGGCCTGGGGGCCTGACCTGTCACACGAAGGATGCGGCACTGGGGCGCGCTGCTGTGGTACTGGGCCAGGGAGCCCCGAGAGCAGGAGCTGAACAGGAGGCTGCCGTCGGGGCTGGCGGCCAGGCCGGTGATGGCTCCGCGGTGACACCTGCACACACAAGACGCCGTTGCCTTGCCCCTGAGCTGCACCGTCCCAGACCTCCTGCAGAATCCCGGAGGGGCAGCAGAGGGCGGGGCTTCCAGTAGACGGCCCTCCCCCGCACTGCCCGATCTCCCACACTCCCCAGGGGACCCACAAACCACTGGAGCTTCCACCTCGATCGTCTGTGGGGCCAGAGCCGGCTGACCACCCACCTGTGCTCCACTAGGACCTTGGTGGTCTCCAGGCTGAAGGAGCGGACGGCCCCGCTGCTAAAGCCACAGAAGAAGGTGGGCTGGGTAGGGTGGAAGGCAACAGCACACGGGGCCTCCTCCGGAGACGCGAAGTCGTACAGCTGGAGGACAGGGCCATGTGAGGGCGGACAGGCTGGGGCAACCAGCTGGCCACAAGGCCCGAGAGCCAGTCTCTCTCCAAATGCCTTGAACCTTCAGGCCCCAGACACAGGCAGAAGGACTCAGGGCCCCACCCACCGGGCCTCAGTATGGCCTGCGGCCCTCCAGTCCCTCCCTCCTGGCTGGCTTCCCTCCGGCCACACCCCACCTGCTGCAGGGTCGCTAGGTCCCAGATGCGGACAGTGTGGTCCTGGGACACAGTGGCCAGCTGTCCCCGGCTGCACTCAGTGGCAACGGCCAGCACCGGGGCGGCGTGGGAGCGCACCAGCATGCTGTACTCCCGGGACAGGATGTCCAGGAAACCCAGGTGGCCCGAGGAGGTGGTGGACAGCACACGCAGGCCGTCAGGGCTGACGCAGACGGAGCTGATGGGGCCCTCATGCTCTGCAGGCAGGGTGGGTCGGTGACCGCCCAGGCCTGTAGTGGGGTGGGCCTGGCACCTGGGCCAACTGGGGCAGGCTGACCATATCCATGCTGTGCCTGTGCCCAGCCGCTCTGCCCAGGACACTGAGAAATGTGCTTCCCTGCTGCCTGGAGCCCCATCTCCCTGTGAGCTACAACAGGTGCCTCCCCTGTGACCACCCACCCCTGGGCTCAGCAACGGTGGACCCCAGCTCAGGACACAGCCCCTTGGAGCCCCATGACTGCCGTCCAGCCCAGGGACACGGCCCTCCTGCGGCAACCCTGGTGGCAAGGTGATGTCGAGGCCCCACCTGCCTCCAGGAGCACAGAAGAGAAGTCCAGGGGCCAGAGGCGCAGGTAGCCGTCCTCGGAGCCCACGGCACACTTGGCCTGGGAGATGCTGAGGCTGCTGATGGCGATGCCGGGGCCTGGGTGGGGGAGGCACGGTCAGCCCAAAGCGTCAGGGCCGCTTCTCCCAACACAGCAGGGCCCACCTACCTGAACTGAAGGTCTGCTTCTGTGGGAGGGGGCCACCGGGGGTCCGTGTAGGCAGGAGGCGGCGAGCGCACCGCACAGCCATGCGCTGGTGGTCAATCTCCAGGATGTGGCCGCTACGGCTGCAGACGTAGCTGCCCAGAGAGGCAGAGGTAACAAACGAAGGCGGAGAGACCGAGGGGCAGGGCAAGGAATGGGCGGGCCCTGGCCATTAGGGGAGGGAGGGTGGGGCTCACAGTGTATGGCCATCCTGGGCCTGCCTGAAGGCCAGGTCAGTGAACTCCAGCGCGTGGTGCTCCCCCAGGTCCACAGGGCAGGAGCGCAGCCCCCCACCTCGCAGCCGCCACAGCCGCACGCTGCCCCGCCCGCACGATGCCATCCTGCGAGGGGTAGGAGGTGAGCCAGGGAGGAAGGGCCAGCTCACAACTCGCTGGTCCCAGCACGGAGGATGGGCAGGCGGGCAGCCAATCACCTGGTTTCATCGAAAAAGGCCACCTCGAATGCCTGGATGTCAACGTCGCTGTGCACCTTCGTGAGGATGACGGCCTCTCCGCCTCGCCCCACCTGGGCCGTGCCCCACACCACCACAGTCTGCAACAAGTCCTCTCTGAGCACCCACCACCTGCCTGGCCTCTCCCACAGAAGCAGGCGCGTTGGGCTGCAGGGGGTGGGAAAGTTGGCCCCTGTGGCCCGGAGGAACCTACATGTGCCCACCCGGGGTTTCCACAGACATGTGTATGCAGAAAGGAGCAGGAGACACAACCACGAGTGGAGGAGAGGCCCCGGGTGAAGCACCCAACTTCAGAGATGCTGTCATGTTAAACTCGCCCAGCTCAGGCATGGGGGACTTGCCACTGAAGAGGGTGAGGCCGGTCAGTCAAAGGTCAGCTCCATCCACGAGGGAGTGAAACAGACACTCTGTGGCAAGTATAGCGCAGTGGTGCCCGGCGGGGCTGGGGGAGGCCTGCGGGGACCCTTGCTGCCTGCCTGCACCCCAGGATGGGCCGCTCCACCTCCCCCGGCCTGGCCTGCTTACCATCCGCCCGTGGCGGTCCTTGCCGACACCACAGAGCACCTCCCCACTGTCAGAGAAGCTGCAGATGGAGAGGCGGAGGTCAGTGTTGCAGGCGCAGCCCCCACCCCCCTCGGAGACCCTGCACCCACCTGAGGGAGCAGACGGTGTGGACTGGGCTCTGGAACAGGGACAGGCACTCCCCGGTCTGGAAGTCCCAGAGACGCAGCATGCTGTGGGGCCGTGCCTGGGCTGAGGCCAGCAGGGAACCGCTCCCGTCCAGCGCCAGGGCAGAGACCTGGGGGGCAGCAGGGTGAGGGAGGGTGTGTGCCTGCAGAACAAGCCACCCCTGGGCCAGGGTGCCCACCTTGTCTGTGTGGCCAAGGAAGAGACGCTGCTCCCGAGTGTTGACACACAGGACAACGATGACCGCGTGGCAAGGGTACACGACGGCGGCCCCATCCCGGGTCCACAGGGCCTGCGCACAGGGGCCGGAGGCTGAGGTCACAGACTGGTCGGCTTCGTCCCCCCACCCCAGCACTCCCCCGAGCCCCACACACAGGAGTCAATGGGATGCACGTGCCAAAAGAACAGAAAGAACTCGGGTGCACATGCGCAAGGGCAGGGCTTCCTCTAAGCCCTGCCTGCAACACAAGAAACTTTGGGATTCAGGTGACAAAAGGCCAGAGAGCCCACAAAGACTCGGAGTTCGTGTCCTGGAAGGCCTGGCGAGCACACAGCCTCCTCTCCTGCTGCTGTTCCTGCAGGGTCCCACAAGTCTCGCCCATACCCGGCCCCACTCGGCTGGACGACACGCATCAAAGCTTTAAAGGGTGAGCAAGGGCTCTCAGGTCTCTGGAAGCTTGAGCGAATGGACCAGCACCGACCCGGCTGGTGTTCACGACACAAAGGGACGCCTGCGACGGGATGTCATCACGTCAAGGAAGCACCGAGCGTGTGAGGATGCGGGCAGGGCTGGGCGTCTGCAGCGGTGAAGGGACCCGACGCCTGGGGGAGCTCGGCTGTCCACACAGCCACCTCAGGGAAACACGGGGTGTGCCCACTGTCCCCTCTGTGTATCTGACACTTGCATGACCCAGCAAGAACAGAGGACCCCTCACCCATTTGGTGCTGTGACCCCCAAAGCCGATGACCCCCTTGAGCCTCAGGACCGGATCCGGGAGGAAGCTCTGAAATAGGCAAACTCACAGTGAGACCCCGAAGTGGCAAGGCTTCTGTCCCACCAGGGCTGCCCCACCCAGAGATGGTGCCTGCCTCCCAAGAAAGCCACCTGGTTCTAGTGCCTTCTGCCAGCTGCTCTATGGCAGGAAACCAGAATTCCAATCACATTGCTAGACCCTCCAGGTACCCCAGTCCTGTGCCTGCCTGGAGCCTGAGCCCACCCCCCACCAAACCACTGGGGCTGGGGTCAGGGCACCAGCCCCCTCCTTACTCTTTGTTGAAAACGATTCTTGCCCAAAGCCACCTCCTGTTGGTTCTGCTTTCTGCCAGGAGACTAGATGGGAAGGGACCATCTGCCCCACGCATGTTCCCAGTGGACAGAGGCCCAGCAGCCCTCCACCCACAACTCGTCCACATCCCACCCCCCTCGGTGGCACAGTCCAGCCCCACCTTCCTTGGGAAAAGCACTCACCTCTTGTGGGGATGCATCCTCTGGGGCCGTGGGCTCCACAGTCGTCTGATACACAGACACGTGAAGGCTGTCACTGGCCACGTGCTTGTCAGTGGCCTCCACCCAGGCCAAGGGCTCCTGGCTACGGCCACTGGGGCCACCCACACTAGAGACCTCAGAGCGTTCACAGGACACGCTGACTTCTGGAAGGGGCCTGGGCACAGAGAGGGCCTGGCGGGACTTCAGGAGGACAAGTGCCGGTTAGCACCCTGTGGCCACCACCCTCAGCCCCATCTCCGAGGGCACAGGGCACTCACAGCTGTGGGGCCATGCTTCTGGACCATGAGGGCCAGGCTGTCCTGAACAGGCTTGCTGAAGGCCGCTGGGTGAGGGAGAAGCCGCAGCACAGGCCCCGCTAAGATTGCAATTGAGAAGAACCCACTGAGCAGAGTGCAGACAAGCCTGTGAGGACGTGGCCACAAGGCACTGGGCAGGGGTCAGCAGTGGGCCCTGGCCTTGCCCACTCTGCAGGAGGGAAGCCACAACAACAGCTGCAGCCTACCCTACCGTGGGCCCCGGCACCCCTTCCCAGTTGGAAAGCTTGAAGCCACCAGGCACCCTAGTCGGAACCTCCCACACTGGGTCTGGGGCCTCGAGACAGCCTCCCCTCACCCTTGCAGGCATCATGCTGCTGCATTCACCTCCCCAGATGCAGCATCAGGCCCCCCTCTCCCGCCGAGCTCCATGGGCCCTTCAGGCCTGAACCTGGGTCACCGCTGGTCCCACAGGCCCACCTGCCTCAGAAGGGGAACAGCTCTTCTGAACTGCCTCGGAGGATGTTTTTGAGCTGTCGCTTGGAAACCTTGACGGGGTGGAAGGACAGTCAGCTTCCAGGGGCGGCCCTGCCATCCCCCCACCCGGCCGCCCTCATGACAGGCAGAGCTGCTCACCGGATGTGGACATAGTGGTCGTGCCAGCTCTCCCCTTTCGGCACCGGGAATGCCATTTCTCGAGGTATGGGGGTGATGGGCAGTTTTGCACACCGGGCTTCAGCGACAGTGACAGCTACGAAGAGCAGAGTCCAAGGAAGCCCACCCAGCTCCCTCTCCCAGCCCAGACAAGACAACACCAGGTACCAGCCAGGAGGGTACTGCCTGGCCACCAGCCCCACCACCCCCTCCCCCAGTGGCTGCCTTGGGAGCTGGGAAGCTCAAAGATGGTACAGCATGGGCATTTTCACCAAGTGCCAGGTAGGGTGTGGAGGCCAGCACACAGGGAGTTAGAGCAGGTGGGCTGCAGGCTAAGCACACCTTTAGCCCTCACCGGGATCAAAGCACAGGTCACTGGTGTAGAGGTTCCTGACCAGCAGGCTAGCACACAGCCTGATGCTCTTGAGGTGACTGTAGCGTCGGTTCAGGTAGACCAGGAGAATGTCGTGCAGGTCGAGCTGCAGGCAGGTCCAGCGGGCACCAGGGGAGCCCACATCTGCCAGGTGTGCAGAACAGGAGCAAAGGTCAGAGCCTACCCTCACCAACTGGCCCACAGCACTCTCTGTCCTCAGCCTGTCCCCACTCTCATGGCCACAGCCACATGCCCCTCCACCCAGGCTGTCCCTGGCCTGCCTCCCCGCTGAGCCTTCTGGCTGCCTGCCTCTCCCAGACCATCTGTGACCCGTTCACACCTCATCTGCATGTTACCTTTCCTGGGTGTCCCAGTCTCACAGATGAAAGGGAACTGAAGCCATGTGGCTGTAGACTTGAACTCCTTGAAGAAGTTGGAGAATGACACTCGGATGACCTGGCTGTCCTGTGGGTATACAGCATGGCCGTGAGAAGAGGAGACTGCATCAGGAGTGCAGGGCCCCCACCGGCAGCTCCCGCTCTCCAGCTTGTAACCTCGGTACACAGGTCCAGGTGAATGACGAAATGCTTGGCGGGCAGGGGCCGAAAGAGCACGTACAGGTAGCGTCCGGTCAGCCCCAGGGACTGGGTGCTGGTTTTGGGGAGCTGGATGTAATTGCCAGCAGAGACAGGGCCCCGCACGCGGTACACCGTGCACTTGAGGGTCTTGTCCTGCAGAGAGACACGGGAGGCGTGGCGTCCTGCTCAGCCCCACGGAGCGCCAGGAGGGCTGCAGCAAAGCGGCCCAGGAGACAGAGGAGAGGCCGCCGCTCCTGCTGCCAGGTGCCCCGGCCCACTTACCGTCACGACGGCCACGTCGCCCTCTTTAGAGGACCGCTTCCACTCGTCCACCTTGAAGTGTCTGAAGACGTTGAGGAACGGCTGCTGCCACACTGGGGGACATGGGGGGGGTGAGGTGCCAGACCCACCGCGGGTCTAGGGAGGGGCCGGGGCAGGGTCTGCGCGCTCCCCAGCTGTGACAGCCAGCGCAGCGCGCGGACTGGGCTCCGGGCGAATCTCAGCACCAACCAGTCCGCGGCGGCGCCGGATCTCGGGCCCCACACCCCGGCGCCCGGCCCCGGGCCCCGAGCCCCCGGCCCTCCCGCCGCGCGCCGCTACCTCCGGCCATGGCGCCGCCGCTCGCGCTTCCCGCCTCGGCCACCGCGCGCCCCACGCAGAGCACGCAGTGCGCGCCTAGCAACGGCCGCCTGGCAACAACGCCACTTCCGCCGTCACGGCGGCAGGGCACGTGATCGCGCTTCAGGGTCGGGGCCTGACACGTGACCGCGCGATGGGGCGGGGCCTGGTGAGTGACCGCGCTGGGCGTCTGGACCCCCACCTCACCAGCTGTTTCTCGGGGCGCCCCAAAACCTTGCCCGACCACTTACTCTTCTCTGCTGTCGTGCCCCAGGGCATAAAGAGCCTCCGGCCCCAGGCCTCTGCGGCCACTCCCAAGCTGGGATCCCCTGGGGGTACTCTAGCGCCACCAGCTGTGGGATCCGAGAAGGTTCCTGATTCCCTCTGGGAGGCATCTTTGTATAGGGAATGAGACGCAGCCCAGAAATTGTGAGCTGCACTTGGCAGGAGCTGTCCCCACCTACCCTGTTGCTACCTAGCTCTCTGGAGGCACGTGTGTCAGACGCAGGCAAAGTCACCTGGCCCCACAGGCAAAGCAATGTCCTACAGGACCCCGAGGGCTCCCCACCAGACCTGGAGGATTCAGAGACAGCAGCAGGCGTCCTGAGACCTGACCGCAATTCTGGGTGGCTGGGGCCAGTTATGTAACATTTCTGGGTCTTGAGACTAGGTTCAGACACCTGCCAATGACTACGGAGGTGGGGGGGGGCGGTGTCAGGTGGGGCGCGGTGGCATTTATAGACTTCTATGCAAAATGACCTGGCCCAGGACACAGGAAGGCAGCTGGGCAAGAGGCTGGGGGGGACCAAATTTAGACAAAGCTTCAGCTGTGAGGAGATGAGGCTACAATGGAAGGTTGGGCTGGGCCTGGTGCTGGGGCACAAGCGCCCCCTCCCGCATCCACCCCCCCACCACCCCCAAGTAAAGGCCTTTCCAAAGGGCAGATTCTCAACTTTATTAGCCTGGAGCTCCTCCCTGCCAGCCCCACAGGCTGGTCCCCGGGCACAGTGAGCAGGACTGAGGTCAGACAGTTTCAACCCCTGGCCTCTGGCAGCCTGGAACAGCTGGGCCAAGGGGTCAGCAGGAGCAAAAGTCCAAATTCTGGCACTTCAGGTGTGGCCGGCTCCTGGCCAGGCCCAGGGTGAAGCACGGCACACCGCAGCGGGTGGACAGGGCGCCGTGGTCCTCTCCTGGCAGAGGGTCCAGCGTGGGGCAGGGCCAGGCCCTGCATGGGCAGCGTTCCTTCCAAAGCTGCGACTAGGAGCAGTTGGTGATCCTGGCCAGGAACTGCTGTGCCCACCACTCGTCCAGGTCGATGGGTACGAAGTCTGCGGGGGAGCAGAAGGCTGGGCAATGATGTGCCTCCCAGGCTGACCAGCGTCTCCCACCTCGAGCTGACCACAAGCCCCTCACCCAGACCCCAGCTGTAGCAGATGCTGGGAAGAATTGGGTCAGGCTCCAGTCCTCCTCCCAACCCCCTGGGACTAGAACCTGGCTGAGCCAGATCAGGGTTGGAGGAGGTGGAGGGGACACCCTGAGGGCGGGGGAGGGCTCACTCTGCAGCCGGGGGTTGGGGGTCCTCTCCACGTATTGCACTGGCCTCGGCCCGCTCTCACCGGCTGGGCCACCACCCAGCTGCTGCTCCACTTGCTGCCAGGCTGTGGGGAGAGGATCATCAGGCTGAGCCAGGCCCCTGGCACTGTGTCTCCCACCCCAGGGCATGGTGGCTACCCTGGACCCCAGCCCAGAACTGGGAGTGGGCAGCCTGCTGGATGGTCACAGGAGAAACAGGCAGAGAACCCAGGAAGAACCCAGGCCTCTGGCAACTTCGAGTGAGGTTACAGTGGGAAAAGGACCAGTGGCCCAGGTCACACCCTCGGGCCTCAGCACTACCTTCGGACACAAATCGGACGTTCTCCTCGTGAGCCAGTGTGTAGGTCTCCTGGGTTCCCTTGAGGGACGGGGATGTGGCAGGTGGCCGCCGGCCATTCACCCGATTGAACACGAGCCTCGGCCCTGGACTGCAGGAAGGGGGAAGAGATGGTCAGCAACTGTTCCAAGCCCAGGTGTTACCTGGCAGAGCTCCCAGAGCAGCCTCAGGCCACCCTCACCACCCCTGGGCCAAGGCCAGCCTGGGCACTTCCCTGAACCACAGGAAGGCTGTGTGCTGCAGCCAGTGGCCAAGGCCTTTGTCGTGCAGGCCTGCGCCCCCAGCAGCTCAGTTCACAACTGCAGCCCCCCCACCCTGAGCCAGGCCTAAGACTGCGGGGGTGGAGTGGGGCCTCTCTGTGTCCCCAGATCCCCTGCAGAGCTCCATGCTCAAGGCACATAGGCGGCCCTCCAAGGGTCTCAGGCACCCCCACTGCCACCAGCCACCCACCTCCCCTGGACCAGCCAGGCCTCCATCAGCCCAGGTTTTGACCTGCGTAAAGGTCACTTGGCCCAACCCCACCCACCAGGCGCAGTTCTTGGCCACTTTCTCCCCCACAGAAGTCTCTCCATCTCACGATGCCCCCCAGTGTGGGATGAAGGACCCAAACAAGAGCTGACGGCCTTTGCCCTTCCCTCTCCCAGCTGCCCCAGGTCCCCAGGGACAGCTCCTGGTCTGGCTAGACAGCACCAAGTGCTGAGTGGGCCATCCTGAGTAGGGAGGGTGTGACTGCAACCCTGGCCCACCCCTGCAGGCCCCAGACGAGGGGCTATGCTCTTGCCCACGGGGGCAGGAATGCTGAGTAAGGAGATGGCCCTGGGTGCTGGAGCTCGGCCTGGTGGGCATTCGATGTCCAGGTGGCCACTGGGCCCATCCCGGCAAGCCGGGCCCAGGGCATTGGTTGGGCTGCCCTGGCCAGTGGCAGCTGGCCCAGCCCTGTGCACGTGAAGCCCGGGACAGGGCCGTGGAGAGTGCGGGGCCCACACCTACAGCAGGAGGTGGGAGCCGGGAGTCCTGGGCTGCACGTGCCACTCCGCCAGGCACTCGCGGTCCCGCCGGCCTGCTCGCCATCCTGGGCTCAGGTGCCCCACCGCCGCTGGGGTTTCCTCCTCAGTTGAGAGGGGCACTAAAATAAAGAGGAGCGTCTTGAGGGGCACCAGTCCCACCAGCTCCAGGCTGGCAGGGTCAGGTGGCCACATAGAATGTGGAGGGGCAGGGCTCCTCCCAGGCCTGAGCTATACCAACCAGAGGGCATAGCTATTTGTCCTTAACTGGAACAGCCCCTTGCCTGCTACCCTTAGCCCTAGAAAAATTTGGAGACTGAACATCAGAGAAGGAAAAAAAGAATTGCAGTCAAAGGCTGTAAATCGCAAGTACCTAGACAGTGGCCTGGCCAGGGCTGAGAAGGGGCCCCAGCAAGCGGGCACCTGGCCGCCCGCTGCCAGCAGTTACATAAGGCAGTTCTGCGGGCCCTCTGGGGGAAAGGGCACAGCTCCCTGTGCACCTATGGACGAGTCCAGCGTCCGTCTTCCCCACCCTTCTCTGTGCCAGCGCCCAGGGACTCGGCCTGCAGGAAAGCCCCGCCCACAGGCAAGCTCTGCCCACAGCAACAGCAGCACCGGAATCCCTGCTAGGTGCCTGCTGATACAGGCCTCGCTTCCTTTTACTTAACCCCCTTCACTACCCTCCAAGGTAGACCACCCACCCATTTTCAGCCCAGGAACCTGGGTTCAAGAGAGAAGTGACCTGTCCAAGGTTACATGTGGTGAGTGGGTGGCAGCATCAGAACTCTATGCCTGTCTGACCCCAAAGCCCACAACCCAGTACAGCTTCCAAGCCCCCTCCCCCACCAGTCCACCTCCCCTGCACCATCAGGTGGCCCCATTTTCTCTTCTCCCCAACAGTTGATCTTATTCTCTCTCGCTGGAAGGGAGAGCTCATCACAGGCACAGACTCATGTGGCCTGTCTACCACCACGGGCAGCCCCCGGCCAGAATCTGAGCCCGGACATTTAGCAGGTCAGATGCTTTGAGCACCTGTGGTGCACCAGGCACAGAGGGTGCAGCAGTGGCTCAGACTCCTTCCTCCTGGGCAAAGTCTGGGTGAGGGAGGGTGGACAGGAAGTCTGGGTGGAGTGATTTCAGAAGTTTCAGGGGCTCCTGGTGTGGAGGACCTGCTGGCTGCTCTGGCCTCCCAGCGGGGGTACTCTTCAAGGTCCCTGAGACTGGCAGGGGGCAGCTCAGGGAAGGAGTGACTTCAGAGGGAAGGGGGGACGGCATGACCAGCACACACTCTGCCTTCCTGCCACTCCCCTGCACTCACAGTGCCACACAGGACTGCAGCAGGCTGAGGGGCCAAGTACCAGCACCCCCCTGAAACCCGGGACCTGGCAGGTTGCAACATCTTAAGGGCTCTGCTCTGTCTTTCCCATCTCTCTCCCCAGCACCCTGATCCTGCCACAGACGCACATTTCCTTCCCCATTCCCCAGCAAAGGGGCCATGGAGGAAGCAACAAGTTTCTCCAGGTAAGCGGCGGTGGGGGGGGGGGGGGGGGGGAGGGGGGAAGGCTCCCTGCTTGGGTGATAGGGGCGGGTCTACACACCTATGCCTTATTCCCTCCCCTGGGAGGTAGGGCGGCTGTGAGGACCAAGGCTGATGTCACAGGCAGTGTCACAGCACAGCTGGGTCCTGGGAAGTGCCCCCCAAGGTCCCACTCACCCCTCTCCCCAGGATGCACTTGTGGCCGGCCTGGAACATTTTCCTCACTAGGACCAGTCTCAAAGTGTCAACATGCTCCTAGCAGGTGGCCCCAGGAAAGGGCCTCAGCCAAGAAGGGTCCTCACAGGCTGCCCCCACCTGTGGCATTTGAGACCAGTAACTGAGGGGGAAGGGCAGGCTGTGGCCTGCAGCACACAGCCCCCACCTCTTAGCCAATCCTGGAAGCTGTTTGTCCTCAACTTGGGAAGAAATCCCAAGGCCTGGTCAGTGCTGCCTCGGGGCCCTGAGTCTGCTGCCCCCACCCATCCACAGCCCAGCTCAGGAGCCCTCAGGCCTGTGTGGGCCTGGACTAAGCCCTGGGCCCAGAACATGCATAGAATAAATGAAACCAGAAGCCAGGACCTGAGCCAAAAAGTGAAAGGTTCAGTCCTGGGGGATGGAGCATATGACCTCCAGATCACAGTCACTTGGAGGCCAAAGTGGTTGAACTGAGCCTCCTATGGCAAAAATGCTGGTCAAGAAAGGCGGAAAAACCACAACTCCAGCAAGCCCCAAGCACCTGCGGGGGTCTCCACGCCCAGCCAGGGTGTTTGGGGTGAAGGGCAGAGGCGAGCAGTGGCCTGGCAGGGCCACAGGGAACCACGTGCACTTCTCCCCCAGCTGCCCCGCAAGCACGGCGCTGGCAGCCTCCAGCCGCGGGCAGAGGCAGGCCACCTGCGGGCCAGCGTCCTGGGCCACCGCGCTCCCGCCCTCTAGGGCGAGTCCCCAGCAGTTCGTCTCAAGCCCAAAGGTCGGCCCAGGCACCTGACTTAGCCGCCCGGAGCCCCTCAGATCCAGGAGCCGGTCGGCCTTCTCCCGACTCGGGGTCCGCGGGATCCCAGAGGACTCGGAGGTGTGTCACGCACATCCGGTCCAGCCCCCTCGGACCCAGCCAGGTGCCAGGTGAGGCGGAGGTGCGGTGCCAGAGCTGCACGCGCGGGCGGGGTCGGCGTGCTCCGCCCCCTCCGCGCCCGCCCGGAGCATGTGGCCCAGTCTCCGCTAACCTTTCCCCAAGGTCACCCTCAAGGCCCCGCGGCGGCCGGCGGGGGAGGGGAGGGCCGGGCTCCAGCCGCGGCCGCGCGTCTCACCTCGACAGGGGCCAGGGTCCCGGCGGCTGCGCCCGTGGGGGCTGCGGGGTCGGCGGCGCGAGATGCCGGCATTTCAGGAGCTCGCCGAGCCTGCTCTCCACCTGCTGCTGCGTGGGACCTGCAGGCACGGGCAGGGCGCGTCAGCCGCCGTCGCGCTGGGGGCGGGCAGCGCGTGCGGAACTCCGGTCGTCACCTCCCTACCTTACCCGCCCCCGCTGCGCACCTGTGCGCCGCTGCGCGACCAGCTTGCTGGGTCCCTTGGTGATGGTGTACATGGTGCGGAGGGGCCGCAGCGCGCCCGCGCCCTCCGCGCCTCCCCGCCCGCCGGCCCGCGGCCAGATCTCGCGCCCTCCGCCCGGCTGACACTCGGCGGGTGCCGAGGGCGCGGCCCCTTTAACGGGCGGCCGGCGCTGCGGGGAGGGGGCGGGCCCGCCACACACCCCCGGCCCTTAAAGGGCCCGCGCCGAGACACGCGGCAGGGGTGGTGCTCGGGCCTTTGGGAAACTGGCTGGACCCGCGGCAGGGCCCGAGGCTGGGGTTGGGCGGCCGCAAGCAGCGCCCGCCCCTCTGGCCCAAGGCCTAGGTCAAGGAAGTTCCCTGAGGCCTGGGCCGCCGTCCGCCACAGGAGGCTACAGGAGCCATAGGCACACAGACGTGGCGAGGTTCTGGCCCAGGCCCTCGGTGATGTCCAAGGAGCTGAGGCATTGACAGACGCTGGGAGTGAGCTGTGTGGACCCTGGAAGCAAGGATATTCCCACTCACGTCGGAGACCCTCCTCCAAGGTGCCTGGGTGGGCCTGGGCCAGTGTGCCGGTTCACCCAGTCATGGGACTGAGGGGGTCAGAGATGAGAAAAGGCGGTCAGCCCCCGGGTTCGGGCAGACATGACGCCCTGGGACTCTCCCTTTCATCCCATGGGGCAGGAGCAGAGAGTACATTCTGCAGCAGCTCAGCCTTCCATGCTGATGTTTGCCCCCAACCCCAGGGAGGTGGGAGGCCACTTACCAATCCAGGAGCATCGTGGGGGCTGGATCCTGGGGATGGAGAAGGTGGGTGAAGCAACCCAGTTTATGTCATTCCACAGGGGAGAAAGAGCACTTACTCCTCCAAACCCCCCAGGCAGTGGGGTCAGCTGCAAGACCTACTTCAGTGACAGTGCCTCAGGAGGAGCCAGACCTGCCTGCCGGAGGAGAGCGGCTGCTGTGCCCTAATCTGCCAGGCAGCCCCTTCCCAGGGGGCTCTACCCACAGGGTTCCTTCCTGAGGATTAGATAGAGATGCCCCTTCCTCCCAGTTCACAGGCTGCTTAGGGCTGCCTCAGGCTGCTAGTGGGGGCAGGGTCATCACAGGGTCTCACACACAGCAGCCTGGGTTGGGGGAGGGGGAACCACACAACTCTTGGGTTTGTGAGCCTGAGGGCCTTTTGGATTCTGCAGGAGGCACCCATCCTCCCTTTGGTTGAGTTCAATCCTTAATGCCCCCCCCCCAAAAAAGAAAACAAACTGCCCAGTGTCATCCAGAGGGTGTGGCATCCGCCTCAGAGGCTTGTGCAACCACGTTGGTCCCTCAGGGCTCCTACACTGCTCCCACAAGTATTTGGGGAGGCTCAGTCGGGCCAGCACCAGAGCCTGGGGTGTGTCTCAGTCTGGGATCCGCTGCCCCAGGGGGCAAGGGGGCTTCCCCTCAGCACTGTGGCCCAGTGGGTTCCTGGAGGGCACCTAGCGCAACTCCCCCCACACCCCACACCTGAGCGGGCCTGAAGCCTCCCACCCATAGAGCACGTCTTTCTCCTCGTATCATGTCCAGACAACAAGTACTGTGTACAACATGGCGGGGGGGGGGGGGCAACCAGCGGGAGGATGCCCCCACCCCCCTACCCCATGCACCTGTGTAGCTGCTGGTTGAGGTGGGGGCACTGGGCCTGCTGGTGCTCCTTCAGGGAAGTCTGCTCCCTGGGGCAGCTGTGCTGTCCTTCCTCCCAAGTCCCCCATAGCCCCTTGGCTCTGCGTCTTGTTCTACCCAAGGCCAAAGGATAAGACCCCTATCCCCGGCCCCAGCTGCCCGCTCTGTGGGGCTGGGCTGAGCAAAGCCTGTGACCCTGAGAGGGGAGAGCATGCCCAGGGAGTCTGGGCATGAGCACAGCCCCTGGCCAAGCTGGCCCCCCTTTCCACCCGAGGTGCCCATCCCTCGTCCCGCCCCCCAGCTGTGTCAAGGCCACCACGCTCCTGCCCTGGTCTATGCTGGCTGCCCTGGTCTCCCTGGTGGCCTCGAGCACAATGCTAACTCACTCAGGCTGGGTGAGGGGCCCCGCAGGGTGAGGGCGGGCCTGTGTCCTGAAGGCACATGTTCTGGGCAGAAGGAGCCAGGCCCTGGGGTGGGGGAGTACCTCCCCCCAGGTTGACATGAGTTGAGAGCTCCTCCTCTCCCAGGCACCCCCTCAGGCCAGCGTGAAGAGGGGAAGGACAGGGCCTGTTGATGAGCAGATAGGCCTGGCCTTGATGGTGGCCAAGGCTGCTAGACTCTAATGTCCCAGCCCTGCCTACGGGCCTTGTCTGATGTCAAAGGTTGGGTCCAAGACCCCTTGGAAGGGCTCCAGGAAAGAGGAGCAGAACAGAAATGGTCCCGACAGGCAGGAGAGGAGGGGGTGCAGGACAGGCTGGGCCTAGGGGAGAAGTGAGAGAACCCAGAGGTCCCCAAAAGACACTGAGCTAAGGGAGAGGGGAGCCAGGGAGAGAAAGGCCCGGTTGTAGGGGACAGGCAGCAGAGGAGGGCAGGGAGGAGGGTGGGGCTGATCTCCCCCTGAGGCACCTTTCCAGCCTCACTGCTCCCAGGACTCAAGTGTGAGACCTGCCCTGGCCCCGGGACAGAGCCAAGGGGCGTGCAGAGGGCCCAGCCAGAGCCTGGGAGAGGTCAGGGTCTGGATGGGCCTGCAACCAAGATCTCAGTTTGGTTCTCCTGTTAGGGTAGGAACCCTGGCCAGCCTGGCCTTCCCTGGACTACACTGTCCATGACGGCGTGCCACCCTGCTAAGCCCCCGTAGAGATAGCGTCTTGCAGCTGGCAACATTCCCTATTGTCAGAGAGGCTGGAAACCCATCCTGGAGTTGGAGTCATGGGCAGTTGAAGAGGAGACAGGGGCCTCACCCAGCAGGCTGAAAAAAATGGGTGTCATAGTAAGGAAAGGCCTTTACCTCACTGACCCCAGTTAATTATAATAAAAACAAGTATGATTTTTCTCTTCTAAAAGCCTTTAAATATGATACAAAAATGTCATGTTAGAGGAGAAAGATGTTTAAGTTTTCAGTCATCCTCCATCATTTTTCAGATCTGAAATCCATGCCCTCACCAACCCAGACTAGAGGATGGGCTTCTGCCAATAAAGGATGATCGGTGGCCCCCAGGAAAGGCTCCGGCTGGATGCTGCCACACCTGCCACCGAGTTTCTAGGGATTGCCCATTCCTTTTTTTTTTTTTTTGGCTTCGTGGCTTGCAGGATCTTAGTTTCCTGACCAGGGACTGAACCTGGGCCCTAGCAGTGAAAGTGCCGAGTCCTAAACACTGGACCTCCAGGGAATTCCCAAGGGGTTGCCCATTCCCATACCCAAGTGCAGTGAGTTGAACAGTGGCCCCCCAAAGATACATCGCCCAGAACCTCAGTACATGACCTTATTTGGAATAATGGTCTTTGCAGATATAATTAAAGCAAGGATTTCGAGATAAGGTCATTCTGGATTAGGATGGGCCCTAAATCCAATGATGAGTGTCCGTGTAAGAGAAAGGAGAGGTATATTTGGACACAGAGACACAGAGAAGACCAGGTGAAGACAGAGGCAGAGACTGCAGTGAGCCTGCACAAACCCAGGAACGCCTGGAGCCACACAGAAGCCGGAAGCTGTGATCACGAAAGGGCTTCCTGTAGGGCCACTGGAGGGAGCTGACATCTTTGTTTTGGGCTTCTGGCCTGCAGAACTGTGAGAAAATAAATTTTTGTTTTAAGTCACCAAGTTTTGGGGTAATCTGTTATACTAGCTCTAGAAAATTAACATACAGAGGGAAGCAGTAGTGGGTGACGGTGAGGGAATGGGAGGGGAAGTGCCCAGGGTGCAGCACTGGAGGGCTTGGGAGGAAGTTCAGTGAATGGTGGGCATATGGGCCTGGACCTCAGGAAGGAAGCTGGACCCTGCTGTTGGCTCTGGACACTAGGGGGGCTTACTCCACAGCCCTCTGTAGATGAGCATGACTAGCAGGAGAGGCCCCTCCGGCTCCAACAGTAATCCGCAGGAGACACAACCCCAGGAGGTACCACTGAGCACAGGCCCGGGTCTGGGGCACTTCCAGGTGTCCCATGTTCAGCATCCCCTGGGGGACTTGGACCCTCCCAGAGTCTGACACACATCCGGCACTTTACAGGAAATGTGTGCTCACACTTGTTCACGCAGCTCACACATGCTCACATGCATGCATTCACACACACACGCACTCTAGCAAAGGCCACCGCTTGGCTGCACCCAGCTGCTTCTGTCCCAGGCTCTGAGCTTGGAGAGTGCAGAGGGCAGGTGTCAGTTCCCACAGCATCCAGTCCAGAGTGATGAACGTGGCGGGGGACGTCAACCTGAGGTCAAGTGCCGTTAAACAGAAGACGTTGCAGGGCATGTGGGCAGTTCCTCAAGCAGCACCATACAACATGGGGGAAGCAGGCTCCTTCTCTCTTACAGGACATGAGTGTAAAGGAAAAACTTATTTTTCTGTACTCACAACACTTCTGACACCAAAAGTGGGGGGGTAGTTCTTATTGGTTCTCTAGTGAGAATGCTCTAGTTCTCTTTGGACACCAACTGGGTGTCCGACAATTTAACTGGACTCTAACTCTAACTGCCCAGCGTCCGCACAGACCCACGGGCTGAGGGCTCAGTCGCTCAACACCATCCCCCATCCCCGCAGACGCCAATGAGGAGTCCAGGTCGTCACCTGTGCTTCTGACCAACCAGATGTAAGTCAGGGTTCCTACTACCCCCTCCTTGGGTTCCATAACTTGCCAGAATGGCTCACAGAACTCAGGGGAACATTTTACTTATATTTACTGGTTTATCATAAAGGACACGACTGTGGAACAGCCAGGTGGAAGAGATGCCCTGGGAAGGTGTGAGGAAGGGGTGCGGAGCCCCCACGCCCTCCCTGGGAGCCACCCTCCCAGCACCTCCAAGTTCACCATCTGGAAGCTCCCTGAACCCCTCTATTTGCGATTTGTATGGAGGCTCCATTACAAGAGCAGGGCTGATTAAATCATTGGCGATTGGAGATTAGCTGTGTCTCCAGCCCCTCCCCCTCTCAGGAGTCAGAAGTCTGAGTAGGGCAGAAAGTTCCAACCCCCTAATCACAGGGTTCCCCTGGCAACAAGCCCCCATCCTCCAAGAGTCACCTCATTGGTATAAATCCAGGTAAGGCTGAAAGGGGCTTGTTATGAATAACAGGTGCTCTTCTCACCCCATCACTCACAAAATCTTCAGTGTTTTAAGAGTTCTATTCGAGGAACCAGGACGAAGACCAAATATCTGTTTCTTATTATACTATAATATGACAGGGTGGCCCGTGCCCAGGAATGCCATGTTAAGTCACCAGGAAGCGTGGTGCCTCTCGAGTGGGCAAGGAGGGCTGAGGGGCCTGGTTGGTGAGGCCTCAGATGACCACTGATCATTACAGGTGAGGGTCACAGATTCACATTGAGGGACACCTCTTCTCCACCTGGAGACACAGAAGATGCTCAGCCAACAAACTAGGAGGTGAGGCAAAAGTGAGTCAGGTAATGAAAACTCAGGGCCATGAAAGGGGAAAGTCAGCTACGAAAAAAGGGTGGTCGTGATGCAGAATGCCAAAGGGGTTGTCTGGAGGCCGACCCACTGAGTGGAATTTTCGCATCCCCCGTCCCTAAGATGCAAGGTTGTCCTCCTTTTCTGACCACATTCAGACAGCGGCCTCTGGTCCCACTCTGCATGCCCCCTCAACAGCAATCCCAGGCTAAAGTCTCGGTCAGTGCCATTCTCAGAGCTCTTGCCAGAGCGACGTTGGGTATGGGGGGAGGGGTGTCTCACGCGAGAAAAAGTGCCCAGCAAAGAAGATAAGCTAGTCCTGACTGCAGAGCACGGTCTCTAGCCTGCTGAAAGGGCCCCTTCTGAGACATGGGCCCCAAGAAGACAACCAGGGAAGAACCGTGGACACAACACAAATCGGCCTCCGACTTGACTCAGAGGTCACCGACCCCGCACAACATCCGTGAACCCTACCTAGGCTAGCCCTGGTCATCTCGGTGTCACAGAGAAGCCCTGAGCATCACAGGCTCAGTTCCGGCAGGCTGGGCCCGCCCCTGCCGGAGTCCCACCCGCCGCAAGGAGCCTCGCCAAGCACAACCCCGCCCACATAAGAGCCCCGCCCCAGAACCACGCCCAGCTGCAGCCCCAGCCCCGCCCCAGCGGAGCCCAGTCCACCACAGGGAGCTCCGCCACACAACCCCACCCACCCGCAGCCCCCGCCCAGCCAGGAGCCCGCCCCAGCCACGAAGGCCCTCCCATGGCCCCGCCCCCACAATTCCGAATGCCGCGGTTGCCGTGGTTTCCACGGAGCACGCTCGAATCCAGTCGGCTGCAAGCCCACGTAGCTCATCCCCGCTCCTTCCCCTCGAATGCTGGGGAGCGACACCCCGAGCCCCCCCCCCCACCATCGCGGACCCCGCCAAACCTGGTGCGCCTAACCATTAGCGACGCATGCGCACTAATGTCTCTGCGCGGAGCCGGGGAGGCGGGGGTGGGAAGGGTAGTGGAGGAGGCTGGTAGTTGCGTCACAATCACCTAAGTCTCGCGGGCGAGTTTGTTACCAGCAGCGCCGCTGGTGTAGTGGTATCATGCAAGATTCCCATTCTTGCGACCCGGGTTCGATTCCCGGGCGGCGCATGTCATACTTTTTCTTTCCCCTCAACTCAAAAAAAACCCGAGAGATTTCATAAAGGAAAGAAAGACTAGAGGGAAGTATCCCATTCCGATGCGACACGAAGGAGACTACTTTGGAGTAACAAGCTCTATGAAAATGTGCCAGGACAGCCACGGGCACGGAGTGCTGAGCCAACGGGTGCGTGTAAACCAACCCCCAAGCTCCTCGCCCCGTCCCCCTGCGGAGGCCGCGGCTCGCTACCAGCCTCTGCGGCTGCGGGGCCTTTAAGGCGCGGCGCTTATCCTCCTGGGAATTGTAGTCTGTGGGGGGGGGGGTGTGTGTGGAGGGGGGGCGCCGGCTGCTCGGCAGCTAGGCCACAGCTCCCGACGGGCCCCGCGGTGCCGGACTACCACTCCCGACGGGCCCCGCGGTACCACAGCACCACTCCCAACGGGCCCGGCGGTGCTGGACTAACACTCACAACGGGCCCCGCCGCGCGGGACTAGAAAGATGCTGGTGGCGGCGGCCGCCGAACGGAACAAGGAACCCATCCTGCGCGTGCTGCAGCAGTACGTGGACCCGGCCCAGCGCGGCGTCCGCGTGCTCGAGGTGGCCTCGGGCTCTGGCCAGCACACGGCCCACTTCGCGCGGGCCTTTCCCCACGCCGAGTGGCAGCCGTCCGACGTGGACCAGCGCTGCCTGGACAGGTGCGGCGGGAAGGCGGGACCCCGGGGGCGAAAATGTGCCCCGTCCCGCTGCCCTGGATCCCCACGCTATTGTGATCCCTCTAAGCCTCCCCCAAATAGGGTTGCAGAAATGGCTGCACAGGCCACCCCACCCACGGGCTGCCTTCCCGCAGCATCTTGGCCACCACTCAGTCCCAGGGACTGCCCAACGTGAAGGCCCCGCTGTACCTGGACGTGAGGTGGGATTGGGAGCAGTGGGGCGGGATCCTGCCGCAATCTTTGGACCTGCTACTCTGCATCAACATGAGCCACATCAGCCCCCTGAGCTGCACCGAGGTCTGTGGGAGCGTGGGTGAGCTACCCAGGGCCCACCCACCTGCGTCGTGCGGCATTCCTTCCCCTGCACTGGGAGGGAGCGGGATGCCAGTTTTGCCCCGAATCAGAGACAGGGCACTCAGGCCGGGGGAGGTCAGGCTGAGATTCCAGTCCCGGGCCCAGGGCTCTTTTGGGCCCTGGGGAAGGCTCCTCACTGCTCTCCTGCTTCCCCCACTTCCCAGGGGCTCTTCAGAGCAGCAGGACACCTGCTCAAACGCAAGGCGCTCCTCATCACCTATGGGGTGAGTGCTCCTGCCTGAGACGGGCCTCTCCTGGCAGGACCACCCCAGCCGGCCTTGGCTGTCCCCGCCTTTCAGGACTCCTTTCTTGTCTCCGTATTTTCAGTTGCCCTTTTCCCCAGCTTCCCATGATCACTGAAACACACCCAGGCCCTCCCCTCTCCAACACTCCTCTGTCATCTGCCAGTCTTTCTGCACCCCGTTGGCTCAGCAGCTGGTCCTCAGCTGTCCCGCTCTGGGAAGAAATGAGGGGTGTGTCCTTTCCATTCTGTGGGTGCCATCCTGCAAGTCTGCCCAGTGGATGACAGGGGATGGCTGAGCCTGTGGATAGCAGACAGAACAGTGTTCTCCGTCTCCACAGCCCTATGCCATCAATGGGAAGATTTCTCCCCAGAGTAACGTGGACTTTGACCTCACCCTCAGACGCAGGTCAGAGCTGGGTGGGTAGGGGGTTTGGTTGGGGGGCAGGTGGGCTGGGTAGACCCCCGGGCCGATTCCACCTCCTTCTCTCCTGCAGGAACCCAGAGTGGGGTCTGCGGGACACGGCTCTTCTGGAGAACCTGGGCCAGGCCAGCCAGCTGCTCCTGGAGAGGATGGTAAGTGGGGAGGACTGTGGTCACAGGCAGCCTCCCTGGGGACCAGGAGCAGCTTCTCCAGCCAAAGTGTCTCCCCCAGGTGGACATGCCAGCCAACAACAAGTGCCTCATTTTCCGGAAAGAGTAAACCCCTTCTCCGCCATGCCTGTGTCACTGAGACAAACCCAGGTCACCAGCCCCTACCACCCTGGGCCAGACTATGGGGACTGGCCCTCCCCAGACTGGGGATTCTTAGCTAGTGGCCACAGGGCTGCTAAGAGCCTGGGAATAAAGTGTTTCCTGCTGTCCCATTGCTGGTATCTGCCATGCCTCCTCCTGGGAGCATTCCTGCAGGGTGCTGGGTGGGCAGGCTGTGTCTCCAAGGGTTCCATCCTGGGGACAAGAAGGGTCTGGCCTGTGGGTCAGGGCTTGGGGGCATCCTGGACTCTGCTGCTCCACTCGGGCACAGAGGGGAGGGAGGGAGGAAGGACCCAGGGGCTGCTGAGACACGACTGAGCTGGCTGCCTGGCCCTCCAGCCATGGGAGGTGACACCCACTTCAGAGGCTGGTCCTCACTGGTGCTCCCTGGTGACCTCAGACTGGAGCCAAATCCCCGTGTGGTGGCAGGACCCCCAGCACAGGCAGGTTATGAGGTCCAGGACGCTTTTATTCAGGCGGAGGGCGGGGAGGGCGGGGCGCGCCGGGAGTGGGTGGTTTGTGGGGAGGGCGGGGCGGGCCGGGTGGGCGGGCTAGTCTTGGAAGCGGTTGAGCAGTTCGCAAGCCTTCCTCTCTAGCAGCTCTGAGATCTTCTTGACGCGCTTCTCGCTGGCCGCGCGGACGTAGCTGCCCGCATCCAGCATGGCCACGCCGTCTCGCACCTCGCCCATGATGACCAGCGGGCTGTCGCCAGCCGTCACGTTGGGGCAGGGGCAGGCCCGGTCCATACCGCTCAGCGTCACCTCCAGGTACTTGGTGCCCAAGAGCCTGAGGCCCATCTTGTCATCCTTGAGCACGTCGTCCAGGGCCACGCGAGCGATGCCGCCGCCGCCCGCCTCGGGCTCCTCCAGTACCTCCGTGAGCCGCCCCACGATGGCGAAGTCGCTGCGGCACAGGCTGAGCGCCAGCTTGCTCCGGAGACGGCAGGCCCGGCAGGGCGGTGTCCGCGGTACGGGGCAGGCGTCCTCGCAGCTCTCGCGGCTCTCGAAGTTGTTGCCATTGCCCTCGCAGCCGCTGTACTCAAAGGGGTGGCACTGCTGTAGCAGCGGACTGTAGGCCCAGCGCGGCTCCCAGCCCTGGCAGGGGCCCTGCACGGCCGGCAGCACGCAGGCGTCCCTGGGGCTACGGGCGCAGGCCTGCTGGCACGCCTCGTAGGTCTCGAAGCCCTGGGCGCCCCCGGCACAGCTGCCAACTGGGAAGGTCATGCAGCCGCCCCGCTGCGGGTCAAAGTGCCAGAGGACCTGGCCAGAGGGGGTGCCGACACAGGCCTGCGTGGTGGGCAGGCATTGGGCTGGGGCGGCGGCCACTGGGGCCCCGTCTTCGGCCGGCTCCCGCTGGACCACGGAGAGCGGGAAGTCGGCCCGCAGCAGGCCAGCGGCATTGCGTGCGGTGCACGTGTAGAGGCCGGCGTCCTCTGGCCTGGCATTGTAAAGCACCAGCTGCCCGATGCTCGTGACCACCACGTTGCCATACATCTGGTCTGGCCGCATGATCAGGTTCTCCCGCTGGTCACTCTGCTTCTCCCAGGTCACAGCGGGTGGCGGGCGGCCACTGACGTCACAGTGGAGGCTGGCTGTGCCCCCTACATACACTGCCTGTGGGGAGGGGCTGCTGTAGAGGGCAGGCGGCACCAGGGCATCCCCGGGTGTCGGGCGGGCGGTGGTCTCGGGGGGCCCGGGGCTGCTGGGTGGCCTGCTGAGGACATGCTTGCAGGGCACGACGTGCAGGCGGAGGCCACGCAGGCAGGCCTCTGCATCCATGTAGCAGCGGTTGTAGTAGGTGAGGCCGTCCGAGGCGCAGGTGAAGCTGGGCTCCTTCTCACAGCGGTCACGGCAGCGGCACACAGGCTGCCCATCCCAGATGTCGCAGTCGGAGCCCTGCTGTGGGCACACGAAGCCATCACATGAGGCCGCCAGCTTGGGTGTGGCCAGGCCGCTGTCAGGGAAGCGGGCTGCCACGCAGCTCTGCAGCCCACACACGTTGGTGCAGCACTTCTCAGTGGCAGCGCAGTCCTGTGGACGGGGCGGGAGCGGACAGCTCAGTGGACACCCAAATACCCCTCCCCCTTCAGCCCTGCCCCAGCATGCCCAGCGAGGGCAGGGGTGAGTCCCCTGCTGCCTCTCCCTGAATCTGTTTCCCCTCTGGGAGCTGAGCAGGTCTGCAGGTTTGCTTTCCATCTGGACAATGAACTACAACTGCCTGGCGCACCCATCACATAGGTCATCTCACTGGACCTCACGGAATCCTCAGACCCCTGGCCCCCAGAGCAGCTTTTTTTTGTTATCCCATCATACACATGAGGACACTGAGGCTCGGGGAGGACGTAAAAGTGCTCAAGGCCACTGCAGTGGTGCAGGGCCAGGCTGCAAAGGCGGGACCTCCAAACAGGTTCCCGCCTCTCTGCCCCGCTGGACCTGAAAACAGCTAGTTGCAGGGTGGGGGTGGGCAGGTCTGAGAAGTGAGAAGGGGGCCTCCAGTTTTCAGACATGAAGGCAAAGACGGGGCGGCTGTCCCCAGGGCCCCTCATATGGAGCACAGTGTGAAACCCCAGCAGAAGAGTGGGGAGCCTGAGGAGGAAGTGACTTCCAGGGTTGAGGGTCCCCTCTGCAGGCAAGGCCTGGGGCGTGGGGGAGGTCCTGGCTTCTCCCATGCTAACCAGGGGCCCCCAACGTAGTCTGTCTCCCCCCAAGCTGGGCCAGTGGTGACAGTGCCTGTGCTCACCTGGTCTCTGACGCACTCACGCTCACAGGTGCTCTGGGCGTCCACCCACAGGTTGGGGCTGAGCTGGTTGGGGCACACACCCGGGTGGCTCCTGGGCCCCGGCGGCAGGCTGGCCCCCGCAGTCAGCCCAACCAGGAGCAACAGCAGCAGGAGTGGCCTCAGGGCCGGCATGGGGACAGAGGGACCAGGGGGTGGGGGGTGTGGCCGCTAGCCCCTCCTCAGGCCCTGCGGATCCCCACTCCCTGCAGGCATCCACCCTCCCAGATCTGTGATCGGTGCCCCTGCCCCCTGCCCCTGGACTCCCCTCTGTCCCCCAAGGTTGGAGCTCACAGCAGACGCTCAAGTCTCAGGCTGGGTGGGTTCCGGGTCTCTCCGAGCTGAGTCTGTCCCTGTGGCACCGGCCCCTCCCCCTCCTGGCCCCTCTGGTCAGCTCAGGGCAGCGGGCGGGGAGAGGAGAGGAAGGCTGGGGAGGGGCCAGCGCCCAGGAGCACAGAAACACTGGCCATGAGGGTCACCAAGGGGCGGAGAAGGGCGGCTCCGGCCGGAGAGAGGAGGGGTAAACGCTGTAACCGGAGCCCCTCCTCCCTCCAGGCCCTGGGATCAAAGCTGCCCTGCAAGAGGGGGCAGGGCTGGCCAACCCCTCTGGCTCCCCCATCCAACCCGGGGCCTGCGTCTTCCCCAGAGCAGGCCAGGCTGGCCTGCCACCTGGTAGTCACTACGTCCAGGCAAAGGTGCAGGGGCTCTGTGTTAAGCCCAGCAACGGTGGGGTTCTGCTCCCTTCCCAAGGAAGATTCCACAACCTTCCCCATACCCCTTCTCGTGGTCACACTGTGCCAGCAGGTCTTGGGGTCAAATCTAAACCCTTCCTGCTGGAGGTGAAGCCTTTGCAGCACAAAGGTACCTGATGGGCACAGCCTGGGGGAGGCTGAGGCATGGCAGAACTTTGCATTTAGAGAGCCTGCTTTCCGCCCCTTCTGAAACCCAGGCACCTGTCTCCTGGTCCAGGCCCTTCCTCAAAGGGTTATGGTGGTTGCCAAAAAAGTGGGGTACTAGAGCAGTGGGCAGGGAGGGAACGGTCTGTGTGTGCTGGCCGGCACAGGCGCCGGTCACAAGGGCTGTGGACACTAGAGACGCGGTGAGGGTGTTTACCTGGACTGATCTGAATCTCAGCGGCTGTGTGCGGCCCTGCGTGGGGCAGCACAGTCCTGAGAGAGATCAAGGGCATCTAAGAGCACCCTGAGAACAGCGTGTCCCAGGAGAGCTTAAGGAACTGCAAGGACCCAAAGGTCTTCGCCTGCCCCTCCAGGCCTCTGTGACATTCAGGAAGGATGGAAGCTCCTCCTGGGCGTGGGGGGAGCGGGGAGATCAAACGCAGCCACTGCCAGAATGTGCTTTTCCCAGGGCTCTGGGGCCCCAGGAGTGCCTGCTCTGAGACTGGATGGGAGAGTGTTCTGTGACCCTGTGTCTGACTGGCTGACCTGAGAGGCAGGGTAATGAGCCTGGTTTGGTCCAAATGAGACCAAGAGACGCCCCAGGTGTGGAGGACACCATGGGTCCCCTGCCCTGTATAGCCACAGCCACAGGCAGCGGTCTCCAAGTGTGTGCGCTATGTTCAGAGCAACTGTCCCCCTAACCCCAGCCCTGCTGACCTCCAGGGCGTCTGCCGCACCCCTGAGCTGAGCCCTACATACCCTTTTAAGTGGGTGGCTCTCCCACTGAGGGTGCTGGCCCCAAGGCCTGGGTTCTCAGTTGTGGTGAGTCTCGGGGGACAGTTCTTCTGGTCCACCACCTGCTCAAGCAGCAGAGGGAACCTGGTAGGCCCTGCCCAGGACACTAGTGAGGGCTCAGTATCCCAGGTTCCGGCCCCGGGGGCAGCAGGCAGCAGATGGTCCCAGCGGCCATGGGTTGAAATACTGCACAGGCAGGAACAGCTGGGGAAAGCTGCTTCCAGGTCCACCTAGAAACGCAGGGAGGCCTGAAACCCTTCGGAGCTCAGCAAGGGAGTCATGGGGGATGGAGCAGGAACAAAGCAGCCCTCTGCAGTGCCACCCCTCCAACCGCCACTCAGCCCAGTGGGTTAAAGCCAGACTTTCATGCACTCACAACGTAGCCTGGAGGCCAGAGCTGAATTATGTTTACTACACAAAGAAACTAAAACTGTCCAAAACGAGCCCAGGAATAGTGCAAGTGTGGACAGCAGCAAAGGGTAGTGTTGATATGGTGAATGCAGGATCGTCCGTTTCCTCAAAACAATGTCCAAAGAAGGGGCTCCTGCTGGCAGGACAGGATGGGTGGGGCCTCCTCTGCCCACCCAACCCTGCTGGCAGCCAGGCCTCAGCCAGGATCCTGCTCACAGGCGCTGCAGCCCCTCCCCACCTCACCTCCCATAACAGCAGCCCTCGGGGCACCCACCACAGAACAGTCCCGAGCAAGGGGGGTCACAGGCCAGGGAGGGGCCCATGGGCAGGAGGTAGAGTTGAGCACCAGTGACCTGTGGCCACGTCACCAGCCAGGTGGACGGAAGGAGGCCAGGCCTCCAGCTCAGGCTGGCCGGTGGGTCCTCGAGGAGGGGCTCAGCGTCCACCACTAAGAAACGGGTGAGAAAGGTTTTGGTGACATGTGACCTCACATAGGGGTGCAACAGGGTGAGGAGCAGCTATGGGATCACACCCAAGGTCAGAAGACAGAAGCTGGCCAGAGAAGGGTCTAGACACCCCAGGAGGCAAGTGGGGCAGGCTCAGTCCAGACTTGCCCAGGGCCTGGTGGCCCCAGTGAGCACTGCCTACAAATAGCTCTGTGTCAACTCGGAGAGACGCCGAGCCAGTTTCATGCAGCAACAGATGTAAACGGAACTGAAGGTGCAGAATCACAGAAGGAAGGTTGATGGCCCCCACGTGGGGAGAGAGGGAGCTGGGGAGGGACGTGGGGGGTGCACCTCGCTTCCCCTTTTCCAAGCAACGTGGAAACCTGCGAGTCGCCCCTGGCTCTGAACCCGTAGCTCCATGACACACACGGATGTCATCCAGGAAGGCCGGCGGGAGCCCTGGAAACTGCAGCTCCACCACGCAGACTACTGGGGCCCGCACCCTCAGCACATGGCGGGCACACTGACCACCATGCTCAGAAAGGCCAATGCATGTAGCTGGGGAGTCCAAGATTGCTGCCCAAAGCTTCCACATGTTCTCCACTGGCCCCCACACAGTCCATAGCCCCATGTGAAGTGTTATGTGAATTCAGATTCAAGCCTTGATGGTGGATTCTTTCCCATCTTTGCCTCAAACACCTTCTCTCTCCCAGTGTCCCAAAGCTCGTCCCCTCAGCTGTCATGGGCTCACCACGTGGTTGCACGGAGGCTTCCCTGCTGGTCCTTTAAAAATGTACAAAAGGGGTGAACCATCTTTTACATAAATAAGAAAGGGAACCTGGTCTCCCAGTCCCCAGGGACAGCCCCCTCACGGCTGGGGCCAGGCAGAGCCGCCTCCAGGGGTCTTCTCAGCCACACCTCAGGGTCCTGGGCGTGATCCGCCACCATCCCAGCAGCATGGCCCTCCACTGTCCTGTGGAGCTGGTCTGGCTGAGACCACCAGCCTACTAGGGGCATCCCCACGCTTCCCAGGAGGGACTGTGTGGCCAAAGTTTTCCCTGCACACAGCGCTGGGCCCAGCGCCCAGCCGGGAGCACTCCCCAAGCGTGAGCCCTCCCAGAGTGCATCTGGATGGGGCACAGCCTGCCGAGCTAGGAGATCTTGCAGTTGCTCCGCGAGCAGTTCTGGGGTGGGCTCTGGGGTGGTCGGATGGACTTGGACCGCTTGAGGCTGTTGCCCTTGCTGCCGCCGCCTCCTGCTCCAGTAGCCAGTGAGTAGGAGCGCCCGTGCATCATAACAGCGTTCATGCCATTGGCCATCGAGAAAGACTTGAGGTGGCTCTTGATGGTGACAGGAAGCGGGAGCTTGTCGATGAGGTGCACGGGGGTGCAGGAAACGATGGCCCGGCAGCAGAGGTCCTGCAGACTGAACACTGCAGGTGGGGGTCAGAAGATGGGGGGGCGGGGTCAGACCGTGGGGAAGGGATCAGACCATGGGCAGGTGGGCGTGAGGCACGGGGAGATCTCGGTGGCCAGTGGCAATCTCGCCAGCAGGTAAGCACAACTGACGCCTAGAGGGGGCTGGGGATTGGGGAGGTCTGCAAAGCTCCCAGGATTCCTGAACCAGAACACCCCCAGACCCTGCCCCTGCCCCAGGCATGCAGAGAGCAGCCACTGGACGTCCTGCTCCCGTTTCACCCCCGGAGCCACGGCACACTGAGAGGTGCCCTGGGAGACCCTGCAGGGCTCGGCGGCTAGACCTCCAGCCCCTCAGCCTGGGCGACTACTGAGCTTCCCTGGCCGCCTTGGCAGCTCTGTTCTGGTGGGACTGCTGAATCCAAGGGCCTGGGAGGCGGAGCCTGGAACCTATCCGCCTGCTGGGGGTCGGACAGGTCAGTCACGGCCCCGCCCCTCCTGAGCCACACCCCCAGCCCCACAGCCGGCCCCGCTGGGCACACTCCTCACCTCGGTTGGGCCTCCAGATCTTCTCCATGCCGTGCCGCATAAGCACGATGCGGGACAGCTCAGTGAAGGATTCGATGACGTTGAAGTTGCACAGTGGGCTGACCTCGAAGAAGGTCATGCAGTTCTTCTCCGCGTAGGCACGCGCCTGCTCTGTCGGGACTTGCCGCTTGAAGGCCAGGTGCAGCCGGTTCCCAACCAGGATCCGGGGGACCCCGGGTGCGTGCTAGGTAGCGCACAGGACTCAGCAGAGGCAAGAACGTGGGACACCCCCTCTCTGTGCTGCCCCCCCCGGGGGGGCCCTCTGTCGCTTCTCTGATGAGGTGGGGCTCCTTGGGGCACTGAACCCCACTGGGAGAGTGCCATAGCAGTCAGTGCATGAGAAGATGCAGAGCCGGGGCACAGGAGGGGCTGAAAATGGGGGTAACAGAGTCTCCTCATGGGGGATGGGAGCACACATGCTGGGGAGGGGGTGACCCTGGAAGGGGGTGTCCACAGGAGCACACCTACCTCATCGATCTCCTTGATCCACCGGTCAATGCCATCGAAGGACCAGCGGTTGGTGATGTCATACACCAGAAGGATCCCCTGCAAGGGAAACGCGGGCATTACGAGGCCCAGGGGCCGCCCGGATGGAAGGGGTCTGTTTCAGGCTTGGCCCTACACCGCTCCCTCCCAGCACAGGCAGGGCCAGGGACACTGGGGCACCAGCCAGACAGCTGTCAGGTGGACCATACAGTTTACTCAACAGGTGGCATCGTGGGAAATGTGCTTTGAGCTTTCCTCTCTGCGTTTCAGGGAGGCTCTGTGCACAGGGTTCAGCTAGCCCTGTCCCTGTCTCCTCACCGT